GCCTGAGTCTGGCAGCAGCTGGGAGCATCACAGGAGCTTGGTACCAGGCTCTGACAACATCTCTGGTAATTCTAGTCTTTTGAGTTCATCTCAGGTGCATTTGTTGTAGAAAGCTGACTATAGCAATGCCTGTTTCTACTTCCACTCCTATTTATTGTCCATCTTGTTTGATTCTGCCTCTGAGGTGTGACAGAACTAGGTGAAATGGGGTTAATCTGTCTAAGTGAATTTGATTGGTAAATGCAGTGATTCTGTTCCACAAAGCCAGTTGTGAAACAAAAACATAAAACGTTCCCTGGTGTTTATTTCTGATAGCACATCGTGGTCACAAGAAGAGCCATCTGAAAAGGTCTGCAATGTAGAGAAAAGCTGACTGAAAAAATTACTCATCTTCCCAGCCCAGAACTTGCAGGATAAAAAGAATAAAAGTAGCAATGCCTGTGACAGGTGGACTCAAAATAAGAACCTGTGGACTGATATTTAAAATCTAATATCTTATTGGTATCAGTGAAATGGTGGGTGCTCAGCCAGACTGAAAATCACTGAAATCAGATTTCATCCAGTGCCTTTGTCCTCAAGAGACCTGTTAGAGTGGCTGTTGTACTATGTGAACTAGAAAAAATTCTGCTGTGAGTGAAAAAGAACTATCCCTGGGATGGAAACACAGCAAAAAAAACCCACGAGGAGGCTACATTTTCAACCCTGATAGTGAGGTAATGCCATACCTGTTACCAGGTTCCTTTCTTAAACGTTCTCATGTAGCAAGCTGCATAGACTTTATTCATGCTAACAAATGACTTGCTTTATCTTCACTTTTATCTCCATTTCAGAGAGCCAAATGACTGTTTCAACATGCTATTTAACTACTCCTTTATATCTGCTAACATAGAGGCCTAATGTAGTCATCTAACACTGATAAATGTCATAAGTCAGTAATGTGTTACGTGGCTTCCCCAGAATGTTTTGCTCTTGTTCTGAGTGTCTGGATATAAGAGAGAGCATATTTAACTTTCTTTCTTGATCATTCTGTGGATTCCGGAGTGGTCTAGCTGATGAAATAGTAGTCACTTTACAGCAGCTGGTAAAAGGTGCCTGTCAAAATGTTAAACTTAAAACTGCTTTAAAAAGATGGTATCGGTTATAATTAACAGTATGGTTTTAACACAGACTTGTTTTGCCTTTTCCTTAAGATCAGATTGCAGTAGGAAAAATTGTAACCTTAGCAGAAAGGACATGGGTCTCAAACTACCAAAAAAAAATGCAGTGACTTTTTGTCATAGTTGCTGCTCTGGCAGGAATTGAGACAACTGGAAAGGGATTATTTACAGTAACACTTGGTTTTCATAAAGCTTTCATGATTCAAAGCCCTGCTCTTTAATTAATTTTACTAATAAATTAAATTACAACATTCCACCAGACAAATATTATCTTAAAATGCTGAAGAGAACAATAAGTGACATGCTTGAGGATGAAACCAGAATGGCCATCATACCTTGGGAGGAGATTTCAAGCATTCCTGGCTTTCTGAGATCACTGGAATATGCCACTCCTCTCATGCTGTGCCTCCCCCTGCTCTGACAGGCAATTTAATATTGCATAATGTCCCTTTTGTCAGAATTATGCACGATGCAGGCTCAACCTGCTTAAATTATGTTAGCAGTACTGAATCAAGCAGTGTCATGTCAGAGAAAGTAGTGTGATCAGAGTCAGCCATTCCCACACTGACCCCGAGATCAGATTTCAGTAAGGATGTGTAATGCATGGCTTACATAAAGCTGTATTTTTCCTGAAGGCTGTCAGGAATCTCCAGTATAATCATAAAAGTTGCTTGTGCCAATAGTAGTAGCAATACCTTTTCTGACAGAATGACACAGCATGTTGACCAGTGGCTGGCAGGTTCCCTGGGGCCACTGGGGGGGATCTGGAAGCTGGTGGGATCTGAGTGTTCCTCACTGCTCTATGCTATTTGTACTAGAGATGGCCACTACAAATTTGCTATGCTATTTCAGTGAACTCTTGAATTCAGTTATTAACATGTGTTGGCAGTAATTGGGATTTTGATGACTATTAAATGTGATTTTAACCAGATTAGAATATGCCTAAAGCTAGAATCAGGCTTTCAGAGGCTGACAAGAAGTCAAAGTGCTAACAAGCTAGTCTAATGCACAGTAAGCAAGAACAAAAACCAGTACATGATTTAAAGAGTGTGCCAGCTAATACAATATAGATACTGAAACCCCTGGGAAACTGAGGGAGGGCTGTTTCCTTCACAGTGTAGAAACAGTCAGAATATGCTGTCCTTGAACTAGGTAGCGGCAGATCTTTGCCAGGGGTAGGAGGGTAGACCCTCTCCATTTTAATTGCTAGCTGGTCTTTACCAGCTTTGGCAAAGCAAGCCTTCCAAAGCTAGTTGAGACAGCAGGAACTCCAAAAGAAAAGACTAAAATGGGTATTTGTTCATCAGTCCCTTGAGTCAGCAGGTCAAGTTAAACTAAGTCAGTTCTCATTTGATGTACTGGGACAGATAATTTTAAAATCATTTGGGCTGATTCTGTGGTGAGCCCTACAAACGAGACTGCTGTGTTAATTTACTCTGATTTATTATATAAAAGTGCTAGAATAAATTTCTGTGCTTAATAGCTGTAGGTGAACACAATAGTTTGCTTTGTAGAAACAATTTTGAACAACTTCTTAAATGCTAAATGATTTTAAATGTGAAGGGATTATTGTGTGCAGTGTGCTGAATCATTTGGTGAAAAATGCTATGTTTAAAAAGTTCAGGTGTGGTACAACCTGATGCATTTCATATTTAATTGAGAACTTTCTGACTTGGTCTAAGGGTCTTCTTCACTTTCATGTAACTTATTAACACCCTTAAGCCTAGATCGTATTATGGGTCTCAGTGTTACTTCTGACCTGAGCTATATTTGGGTTTTGAGGGTAAAAAAAGTAATCTCACTATTAAGAGATTTTTGTTCCTGTGTTTAAACCATTCCTATGCTCCTAGGATAGTAAAATTAATGACTTTATTAATCATTCTTTACCTGACTGCAGTGAAAGGATCTCTTTTTCCAGAAAATATCATTGTGGTATTGGTGTGTCAGACAGTTCTGTCTTCACTATTACTTTAGAGAAAAAAGAGAAATTCTGGGGCATGCCTCTCCTGTGTTTTGATTAAAGGCAAAAGGAGGAAAAGGATTGGAGGGGTGCTGATGGTTTAGAGATTAAGGGAGTTGTTCAGAAACGACTGTGTGTAAATGAGAGACTAAAACATCATGGGTAAGGCATAAATTGCTTCTGGGTTTTAAGAGGAAAGTGAAAGCTTTTGTCTCCTTCAGTGAGTTTGTCTGAGTCTGCCCTGGAAGAGGTCAGGGCTGCGCTGGGATGGCCACCCTCACAGTCTAGCAAACACTGCTGGTGGTTGCTCACAAAGAAGTGACACATTCCTTTTCAGCTGTTTAGGTTGCCAGCTCCCAGTTTGAACACTGAAGAAAACTATGTGAGGAGGAACCATTGGCTGCAGAATTAGTAAAAAAGGTTCATGTGGAACGTACCACAGCTCCTGGGTAGGACCCTGTAATCCTAGATGGGATGGCATTATACCGTGTTTTCACACTGGTTGCCCTTTTGTATTCCAGAGGACTGTTTGGGGAAGCAAATGCTGTTTGGCATGAGTCTAGCCCTGCATAATTTACATTGCTGTTATTGTATTTTATAGCATGCAGAATAGAGACTCAGTTCTGAGCAGAGTATATGGAAATGTGGCTGCCATTTGTCAGTCCAGATTTAATTGCATTAGCTGTAGCAGTGGTGAAGTAAAGAAACAAGTGAGTGTGCCTGAACACAGGCAGAAACATCAAGAAACAGTTGCTTTTAATGGAGCTTGGCCCAATTTATAATTAGGTTTCATGCTTCTTATTTTCTGACAGTGCAAATCTGGACTCATTGATTCAATCAAATACTGGGGGGACAATTCCTGGATATGGAACTAATACAGCTGTAGGTTACTGTCTGATGCTGCTGCTGTACCCAGCTGTTGCATTAGTATTTATTTCAATATAACACTACAGAAATTAAAAACAAAAACAAAAAGGGGGGGGAGAGGAGGAATTAAAAAGTGACAGAACCAGAATGCCTCACAGTAGTTAGCTCAACAAAGCCTGGCACAGTAAACCATTTAAATACCTACTTGAATCTCAGCAAATTCAAAATTCAGCAAATCACTTACTCTTGTGCTCTAGAGCTTTGCAGTTCTGGGCCAAAAGACTGGAAGAAAGGATTTTTTCTCAGTACTGGAAGAATTATGAGCTTGATGCACCTAGAATTTCTCTAGTTTATAAACCTCAGCAAAACAAGTGCAAAAGAGCACTGCATCACAACAGCAGCTTTTTACATCACTGGTGTGTGCACATAAATGACTGCAAGACATGAGATGCAGACTCAGAAGACACTGCCCCCATCACGGAGAGCAGGTATTTTCCTGGAGGTGCAGAAGGGCCAAATTCAGACCTGAGAGAGATGGTTGCAACTTCTTTGAATCAGTATTACAAACGCACACCCTAGGCCTGAACTTCACCTTAAGCCAATTTGAATTTTCAGTTGAAATGTATCAGAGAGACCAGAAGGACTTTTTTTTTTTTTTTTTTTCCCCTTTTTGCATGGAATGTTTTGATGACCAAAGTTTGTTTCTGGTGGTAAAACACATGATAATATTAAAATGAATGCTTCTAATCATGATTGAACAGACATGGTATAAACCTGCCTACAATCTCGGAGAAATAAAACTTAGCTGGCATGCCTCAGGTAGTTCTCAAGCAGGAGGGGCTGCTTTTCTAAATAGAGTTTATTTATTATGTGTGGCTGGGTATCTGCATTCTGGCTCAGTTCCCTGTAGTAAGGAGCTGACCACATTACTATTTGCAAACACAGGGTTCACTCAAGTGGTACTAAAAAGAGAAGAGGTGGGGCAAGCGGAGCTTTAAAAAGAAAAGAGAACTCCGTCCAAGTTTGCATGCAAAAAGCAACTGCGTTTTGGAGAGGGAAGGTACCTGAAGATCTCGCTCCCTGTACTCTAGTAAAGGCTGTGGTGAAGAGTTTTCCAAATCTGCTGCTTTTAAGATTTAAACAGCAGCTTTGCTTGTTGCGAGGAGGTTCGCAGTGATCCTTGCTAGCATTGCTTTTTAAGCTGTGTTAATTTTGTGGCAAGAGTGTCAGGCATTTCATACTTGGCTTCCAAAAGAGAAAAAAAAAAAAGTAAGAAAGGCAAGAGGGAGAGAAAAAACCCGACGAGTGTGTGGAAGAAATCTCCCAGGAATTTCTTCAAAGTTGTGGTCAGACACAGTAAGGGCTAAAGTGACAAGAAAAGCAAGGCAAAGATAAAACTTGGTATTGTGATAAGATGTCTGAGTGTAATGTAGGAGATTGCAGAAACCTTTTGGGACTACACATGTTCATCTTGCCCTGGATATGACTGATTACAAGCTAGTTTTTCTCTAGCGACAATTCAAACCCCCCCTCAAGATTATGTTTCTCTTCCTTGTTGCTTTTTTGTCAGTGGTTTTTAAAATTGGTTTTGTCAGCCTCTCAGCTCTGCAGCACTGGAACTGTCCTAATGGATACAGATTGAAGACTGAAAACTCTGCTTGTATAGGTAAGTTTCCTGGCCATTCACAAATTAAGAGAACTGTATTTGTATGCTCTTAATTGAACTTTATAATTTTCAGAGTTTTTTTACAGATTGCTTGTGCGTTGTACTGGTAGAGCTGATAAATCAGGCTCTCGATACCTTTTGCTTGTCATAATGAATAGAACTAATTTTATTTAGTTGTTCAAAAATCAGTCACTTCTCTGTGATTTTCTTTCTCAGAAAGCAGGATAAACTTTTATATGATCATTAAGCGATCTAAACCGTTCCCTAGTTACCAGAATTCACTGACCTATCTTTACTGCATCTGCATTTTCAATCCATGTGCGTGCTCATATTCATGCTTCTGTATACGTATAATTTGTATATTTGTGTATATTTGCATTTCTATATGCATATAGAAAGTATTTTAATGATTATGTATTATTATATACTTAGATGTGGGCTAGACAACTTTGAAAACTGTTCTTTCTATGTTTATTGGTGCATGTAGATATGTGTGGTTATATTTAATAATATTTTTCATACAATACATGAATCACAGGCATTTGATACTGTAGTACTAATGTCTGGGTGAAATGTATGACTCTAATATTATCATAATCACCTCTACTGATATGGAAGTGATTATATTAATGGAGGTAAAATACCGGTTCCTATTCTTTGCAGAGTGTAAGCCAAAGAATGTCAGAACCCTTCTCACTACCTTGCTACTTTAAAGTCCACACAGTTTTAGAAAGCCAGAGCCAATGAAGTGGGCTTTGCAGTAAGGAGATGAGGAAGCACTCTGTAAGGATTCAAGCAAACAGACCTAATACATGGAGTTAATGCTTTTGCCTTAGATTGCTTGGGCTTCAGAGGCTCTGACTCAGTTCTTGACATGATTCCAGTAAATTAGTAACAGGTGCCTCCTCTGTGCATTCTGCCAAGAAATGCCATCTTGTAAGCTGAAAATACAAGTATGCATGTTAAATGCACTTGTATTGACAGAGGAGGAGCTTGGCCTTTTTTTTGTGTGCAAATTATAAAACTGACTGAAGGTTTATCTGAGAGCCAAACACACCTAGGGTGCTTCCACACTGATACTTCAGTTCAAATGAGAAGCATACATCAATTCAAATGAGAAACATACTTCTGAAGCTAATCTCCTTGCTGCCACCTCTTACTATGCATGTCTTCACACTATGGAGCTCTCTCAATGTGTACAAACTGGATTCCCTTTAGGCCAACCTAAAGCAAAAATTGTTCCCATAGGAGAGCATCTATCATCTGCACTGTTGATGGCCATTTGGTCCATGGGACCAGACTAGACCTGGTTCTCCATAACCTGAACCTGAAATACATACAGTGTGCCTGTCATACCTTCAGCAACTGTTGCACCTTATGGATTCAGTACTATGAGTCCACACCATTTGCTAATATGTACATAGCTTCCACAAGCTAATTATGATGTGCATTGGTTATGACTTCTACATTATTGGTTTGCCCGATTAAGAGCTCATGTACTATGAAAGAATCCTTCTGACATGAAGGGAATTACTTGGCTATTGTTTAACGAGCCAAAATGCACTCAAAGTACTGACATTTAAAAGGCTTCAAAGATGTATTTTTTTATTCCAGTTGACATATTTTGCATATTGTTGTACTAATAGAGACATAACCTGTCCTGCATTATGTTTTTTCTCTTGAAAATTAGACACATTCAGCTGCTGTATGAATGAGGGTAGCTCTAGGTAAAGCACCAAAACGGAATGACATCAAACTTTGAATAAAACAAAGTTCATCAAACTTTGCAAGAAATAGTAATAGAGGTCTTTTGTAAGAATAATAACTCCTGTGTAGCCCAGACCATTTTTCTTTAGAGGAAGAAGGTTGCATGTTTTCACTGGTGTTGAAGAAACATGGGTTATTTAAAGGTAACTGAGTCCCCTGTTCTGACATCAGCTTAAAATAAATGATTAAATCAAGATGGCAATGACAAAAATTGCAAAAGTGCTTCCAATCTACCATAACTTGCTGTTAAATAGATACGTTCATTTACCAGGCCAGTTTTGTTCTGACCTAATGACCTGTCCTCCCATACTTTCTGTCTTACAAACTTTGCTGTTGTGCACCCCTCTGAAAGGCCTCTTCTCTCTTGGCATACCAAGTCAGGATCCAAATAATCTCTCTTAAAATAGCTGTATAAAATTATGTGAGACATTTAGGGTTAGATTTCATTATCCTTCCACAGGATGAGAAGGTCTTTGATCTTTGACTATCCCTAGAAATAAAAGGAACTAATTAAGAAGTGAGCTATTTAGCAACGTAAGAAGAGGACGACCTAGACCTTCATCCATAGTGTCAGTATGGAAAATAAATCTAGAAAAGCCTATACACTTTCCAGTAAGTATGGCTTGTAACAATTCACTAACAGCAGACACCTTTACAGTTCATAGTAGTCCTTATGGCTGGCGGGATGCCACCCCAGTCACAGACGATAAAGAACATTTTACAATTGATATATTTATTACAGCTCACCAAGAATGTTTGCCAAGCTACAGTTCAGCTTGCTGTCACTGTTCACAGTTCAGTACTATGAGTCATGTCTCCCACTCACCACTTTTATGCCCACTATTACCTTCAAAGCCTGCCTACAGCTTCCTACCACTTGCTTCCACTGCACCCTCTCTCTCACATAAGTAATGAACTAGAATATCATAGATCCGGTCTTCTGGTCAGAGCATGACTTGTGTATCCAGCACACAGAGTAAAGGACAGGAGGAATCTGTTCCACCAAAGCATCCTTCAGTCTTATATTTCATGTCAGAATTTCACCTTTGATTAATCCCCTGTAATGCAATGGTCTCTAATTAAAAAGATACCCTAGCACATCTCATCTTTCACTGATTCTATGTTACACAGTCTGGGATACACAGGTGTTATTGTTCCTACAAGGTAATAACATGTTCAAAGTTGGTCCTGGGAGTGGTTTGATTTCTGCATGCATGGTACACCAGAGGATGTGCCTTATGCCTATTGGAATCAGTTGCCTGTGCCTTCCTGAAGTACTCCTTTAACAGAACTATTTTTTATTCTCTCATGTTGTGTAGATGCTTTCGCCACTCAAGACCAAAAAGTTTCCCACATGGCACTGTTTATCTGAAGAACCCCCTACAACAGCCCCTTGCATTATCAGTTTTAGACTAGACATTAATGCCTGTCAGTCTTGGCCTATCCTAGGTAAAGATACTATGTTCCGGATATTGGAGGTGTCCTTTGGTTTCAGGGCTAACTTTGAATAATCACTTTGTCACAAAGGGAGAAAGTTACTAGAAAAAAAAACCAAGCAAACATCAATATTGTTAAAAAGTTTTTGTAGAAGGCAAAACACAACCCACAAATTGAAGTTTTACCTTAAATTCCACACATCTCTACTAACTTCTGGCATTAACTGATTAGACCTTGTCACTTCTTCAGGGCTAACACGCTGCACATTCCTGCAGAGCTACAGCCTGCAATTGAGGGTGACAACTGCAGCTATATAGGTCAGCTTTTTTGGTCAGATGTTTCTTTCTGTGTCTCAATCTTTCCTTCTTTATTTCTTACTGTTCACCACTCTCCTGCCATGCAGCACTGCTGATGAGGAATATTAAGTTATTCCTCTTCGTGTTACATTTTTAATTTACCTTAATTACCTAAATCCTGGCTTCACTTTGCTCCATACAGCCTTCTGAACACATACTGTTAAAACTTCTTATGTTATGTTCTGTGAAATATGAAATGCCAGAACCTCAGAAACTTGCAGTTATCGTTTCTTTGCAAAATTGCATAAGGAGTACTAAGAGGCAGTGAAATGAATAACTGTGTTGCTTACCTCTTTTCGGACATATGGATAAACCTGTTGAGAACCTATTGTATCCCCCTGTATTTCAGAAGAGCTGAGGTCAAGGCATGCTTGTTTCGTTGTTTTCAATAGCTGTCTTTCAGGTAACTCACTTCATATTATACTGCCCTGGGGAAAGATGCTTGGAAATATTGTTACTTAATAGTAGTGAGGAATTCTTGAATATGGGTCTGAGGCCACAGACCAATTCACAAAAAGATTCCCATTGAATTCTCTGGAAAATGGATACAGCTGAATGTGGACAATTATTATCTTTAGATGTAAAAACATATCAAATTAGGAAGGAGACGAATCTGTTACAAGAAGTGACAGAAGTGGTATCACACATTACATGAAGCTTAACCCTGAACAGGGCTAAGAAGCAGACTCCAGGACCATTGGTTAATACTACAAAACTCATTATCAGTTTTGCTCAGTAGAAAATAGAAGATACTAATTTTGTGTTCTGTTTTAAACAAAACTGACTGCTTTCTAGTATCCAGATTGAAACCTGATTTTAAAAGGATCTAGATGATGGTATTTGTTGATGTTTTTCAAAGAGGGGCAAGTGACAGCCTCGTTAACTTCATCTTTGAAAGGCAAGCCAGTAAATATTATGTTGCAAGTTACATGATCCAGAAAGTAGACATCATTTTGTAGTTACTAATTTACACATAGAATTTATTCTGAAGACAAAACCCAATAATTTTTTTTTTTCAGTGCCCAAACCTTTGAGGTCTGAGTCCAGAAGGGTAAAAAATTCAAGACACCGTAGTCCCTTGAGATTTTTTTTTTACCTTTTCTTTTCAAGATATCTAAAAATGCTTTCTAAATTTTATTTCTATTCTAAATTTGATTCTACTTTACACTTGATTAAATCATATGATTGCTCTTGCTGTCATATCTGTGATATGATCACCTCTATGGCTCTGGACTGAAGGAGTTCAGGAGTTGGTAATGACCTTACTGTATTCACACTGTATTTCTTACCACAGTATTTGAGCACTTCATAGCATCTTTGTTTCAAGAATTGTGGGTGATCAGGTTGTGCTTTAAACCTCATTCAAAATCAGAGAGAGAAGATACAGAGCAGTGTCTCATCTATCTTATTGTGGCCTGCTGGTAGATGGAACACGTTTTTCCATTTCTGGCTATCTTGTGCTCTTTGAGATGCATGCTTTTAACAAAATAGATCAAAAGCATGGGCTGCTTTCTTTGTAACCCAGATGAAATTTCATGTTCAATCTTGCTGAAAAGATTATGGTGGTGGCTAGATACAGCAAATTGAATTAATTCCCAGCCCAGATCCAAAGGAGCCAAATTTGAGTGAGGTTATTTGAATGTGTGTATCTGCACATGCATATTTTATGTATAAAATGTATGTATTTGGGGCCATAATGGAAAGCAAGTTCTGGCTCACTGTGGTTTCTCTGTATCCCTGCCAGGCATACTAATGCTTCACCTTCTGCAATCAGAGCATTTCTCAGGACTTTCAATAAAGTAGCATATTTGTATGCAAAGTCATTGAGAGCTGCCAACATCATGATGACATGATTCATCGGTTTTGCTGATTCTCAAGGCATTTTTTGCATAAAGAAGCCTTTGAGAACTGACCAGAACCTCATTCTTCCTTTCAAGGCTGGCTGTCAGGGCTTGCAGACAGCTTTTGTGTTCACTAAGCCGATTTCTTTCACAGGGTAAAGTTCCCACTGGTGGATGTGGTTGCCAGGACACGTAAAACAGCTACAGGAGGATGAAACTCCGTGCTTTGTTTCAGCACTGAGTGCAGGTGAAGGCACTGCTACTTACACCTGATGGATGGTTTTATGATCAGGTTCTCCTAAACCTTAAGAAACAGCCTTCCCTTCTCCCCCTTTCTTTTCTTTTTTTTGGTACTTTAAGCAAAGAAGAGAGCAGAGGACCCTGTTCCATTGTTCGCACCATAAAAGCTGAATGTTCATAGTGCTGTGACATGTTTTACAATACTGCTGTGTCTGTTGGTGTTTCCTGTTTACCTCTGGAAGGGGCATTCTCCGGTGGCTGAGCTGACTGTCACCACTGAACTCGCCTTTTATTGAACCGTTATTCTTCCTCTATAGCCTTTCTTCAGCTGGGGCGATTGCTTGCTTTTCAGCATGGGTGAGAGTTGCTTTATTATATGAACTTTGGTGGGGATGAAAATGGGCAGATTGATAACCCTGAAATCCTTTCTTCAAGATCAGTTACTGGGAGGCAGTGTAAATTCTTGTAGACTGATCAATCAGCATGCTCTTTCTTGGAGAGTCAGTTTTGTACACTCATATAAAGCTAGAAAATCCAGCCTGTAAATAACAGGTCATTGTACCAAGTTACCTAGGTACATAGCTCAGTAATCTGTGCTTGGTTGAAGTATGTCTTCCCAATCTGATCCTGACGTTTTCCATACCTTCACAGTTTTTCTTGGTAGTTAGTTCCCTTAGGGAATCACACTTCTGTTAAAATGTGAACTTAATGTCTAAATCTGATTTCTCTGACTTCAGTTCTCAGCCATCAGTACTTATTAAATCTTTCCTGCAAAAGATTATAGTGTCCTTTAGAAAATAAGGTACTTTTTCTTTATGAAGGTATTTACATACTATGATCCTTCTCCCAAGCCTCTTTCTGATAATCTAAGCAGACAGAGTTCTTTAAGTGTCTCACAGAAAGGCACTTTTCCTTACCTTCAAATCACACTTCTTATCCTTGTTATATACACTTCCTGATTTTCCAGGATCCCTTAGCAGCCAATATTTAAGAAATACAAGCAGTGTGCCAATACAGTCTCAACATTGTTGTACACAGAAGTAGAATTATTTCTCCGCTGTCATTCATTTCTTCTGTGTTTATATGTGTTGTGGTTTGAATTTTCTTACCAAATAATAGCTCTCTCATCAGTGTTTCACATTGCTCTCTGTCTTTAGCAATGTTAGATCTACACAGTCGCCTTTATCACCCGTGATTTCCTTATAGGAATAATATCAGGTTTATTTAAAAAGCTACTATTGTCATAAAAGTACATTGATTGACATAAACTACACTGTAGCCTTTATCAACACAGTCTTATACCTACTTTTGTACTGGTGACCAGATCAGATTATCTGTCTGGCTTAGTCAGCTGGTTAGTGCATTTGTAAACCAGTGCATCAAGGAGAGATGCAAACACTGTCCATACCTGCAGACTCCTTCAGGTCTCTGCTGCTACTGACAGCAGCTGTGACAATGAGCTGAGGTCACCAAAGCCCTCCTTTATGGGCTGCCAAAGAGCTCTGTAGTTTAAATCACATGCAGGCAATGTTAGTCAGGAATAGCTAGTTTTAAATTGGCAACCTGGAGCTCTTGGTTTCTGTAGCCCATTAACAAACTTCTAAGATAGTCAAACCTTTCTATAGGGGATTTGGAGGAGTTCTTATTTTAATGCGGTGGAGAATGGCATGTACATTGCTAGTATGTGTGGGAAAATGTGCTCCTGAAAGCAGATTGCTTGAAGAAGATTGTGAGTTAGAGTACTTTACGGAATTAAGTTGCTCAAAATGCTTCTGCTTTACCTTCATAATCTGTTCAACAGAAATCAGTTGCATGTGCTCTCATTATGTTTTGTACATTGTCAAATTAGTTCTTCTGCTATGTAGAACATAAGGTTATGGGAGAACTCTGAAAACAATTTGGAAACATCACTTAGTCTGTACAGATACATTAGGTGGCTGTAAATTATTAACATTCTTATGAACAACTTTGATACCTGACACACAAGAAGGCCCAAAACATTTTCTGCTACATATAGTTTTTTAAAGGGGTTAAAGAAACAAAGTTCCCAGACCCATGGGATATCAGAGATCTGGTTGCTTGGCTTTCCCTAGAAATTTCATTCTAAGTGCTGGTGTGAGCTGATTAAGTTGCAGTTCCTTGTAGTTATCATGAGGTACCATTTCTGACCTTTGACCTAGGGGAATCCTCACCTAATCTCCTCCTGAAATACTGTGGTAATTTGCACTTGATTCAAATAATCTCAGACAAATTACCCATGGGGCAGCATTTCCATTGCCCTAAATTCTTGATCAGGAATACAGGAATAAAAATATTGTTGTGAGCTATCCTTGGAATAACTCAATACATATATGTAGTTTTGGCTGTGAACCAATGTCCTTTAGTGACTTAATCAATCAAATGTGTCTCTTTAAAATAATTTGTATTGATTCCTTTTTTTTCCTGTATGTGCAAAGTCAGATAACCAAACTCAGAACAAAAGTCACTGACATCAAATAGAACTTGGGGAGGGAAAAAGCTGCTCTTTAGAGCAACCCTCACAGCAGTTATACAAGAAATATACCAGGATGTGGTACTGTCAAATGTGAAGCACCTCAGGAAGTTACTATCAGATGCATTTGTTTTCAGTAGGAACTGAAATTTATCTGAATTTTCTAGGACAATCATCCATGGTAACACCAAAGGGGTTAATTTCTTTCCTATTAATGCAAAATATGCTCTTCAATGGTGACTTTTCTCTGAAAAATAAAGTCCTTAATTTAGGACTTAGTTGTTACTGCCTCAACACCTGATAAAACACCATAAATATGTTAAGTATCTTTTAATTCCTAAAAGCTCTAGCCTACCCTACCAGTTAAAAGCCCAGTTTCTAATTAATTTGCTTGTTGACTTGGCTTGGGCTTGTTGCTGTCAGAATACTGTGAGGGTTTTGGTGTTTTGTATGTGTGTTTGAGATTTGACTCAAACCAAAATGAGCTCACTGTGGAACTCAGTGCTGTGGTAGCCTGTTTGCTGTTTTGCTGTTTCCTAAAGTTTGGTAATTTGTTGGCAAAATTATTACTGTGGAAAGAGGGTAAAGATAAAATGAAGCAGCTGCAGGCAGCATTTGCATAGCAAATGATAATGCAAGTCACAGAAATAGAGAACAAGTCAAGTCTGTTCCCTGTGTTTGGGCAATGAGACCAGAGTGCCCAGACACCAGGAGAATGGTAATTCCCTTGGACACTCTTTTAATGAAAAATAAAATCACTGTGCATTTGACAATGGACAAAACAGTAATTCTGAAACTAATGCATGAAACAATACAGCCATCCTTTCCTTTTTTAATGAAGGGATATTAAATTCTGTGACCAATTTATTATGTCAAGGGTATTCTTTCTCTTTGCTACTTTTGCTAGCTGAATTTTCCTCATCCATTCAACAATGTGTTTCAGATATTGATGAATGCCTTGAAGGTGGTTTGGAAACCTGTGGCCAAACCTGTATCAATGTTCCAGGGTCCTACATCTGCTCCTGTTTGCCTGGCTACACTTTGGACATCGACAAAAGGTCTTGCTATGTGAATGGTATGGTAATTTTCTCTTTTATTAACTAAAAAAGAGCTTTAGATACTTAGGTAGCGTTACTTTTCAAGGAGAACCATGCCTGGCTGGTCCCTACTCACAGTGCCTGGGGTGCTCTTTTTCACTGATGGAAAACTGCCTCTTGTACTGTGTAGGTAAATGGCAAGGCCAAAGTGGGTGTCACAGAAGAGTGATGGTGATGAATGGAAAGTATGGTGGTGGGAAAATGAATGAACTGAAGTGAAACCAAACATGTTACCCTACCCCACAGTGATGTTTTTGCACAAGTGTCTTTCGAAGAACAATCCTACCTGAGGACTTCAACTTTTTTTTAAATGTTATTACTGACATTTGTAGCACCAGGAGAAAATGACTGATTGTTCAGGAGACACTGTGGTGGATAAAGAACATTTATGTTAGATATAAACCTTCCTGTAGGGGGTACCCTAAGTGAAATACCCTCATGTTTTAAAGACAGGAAGCTCTTTAATGCGTGTGTTGTTTACCTGTCCGTTAAACCCTTGATAAAATTAAGACCCAAATCTGACTGGTGCCTCTGCACTAAAAGTTTGATTGTTCGGTCCCTAATCCATTTGCAGCTGTCATTCACAAGTGCCTGATAGGAAATTCAAAGAGTGAAAAGGACAAAATCAAAGTATATAAATGCTCTTAGTCAACTAATTGGCAAAAATGCAGGCAGTACAGCTGCCAAATTCCTGAGAAAAATCAACCTTGTTGCACTTCAACTTTCATTTACCATTTACGTAACGCAAGTCTTCATAGTTTAAGTATTCTCACATGGGGTTGCTCAGTGCAAATAGCAGCAGAAAAATGGAGTCACTAAAATTCTAGAAGCAGCTGTTATAACTCAGTGATAGCTTGAAAATTTAAGATGCAGGAGTCTGTTAGTATAGAAACAAAATTGTAAACAGGAGAAAATGGCATCTTGGGTGCTTGTCAGAACTTCCTTCACTTGGAGAAGTCAAAATTGGTCTCATTTCTCTGCTGTGAAAGGGGTTGAATCAAACAACCTTGCAATCATGATGAAGCTGGAGCATCTGGATAAAATTTGTACAGGTAACATCTGTTGAGTTTAAAGCCCCAGGTTTCATACTAATAATAAAAATATTTAGTTAAAAATTTCCTAAACTGGCCAATAAAAAAGAGTTTAATTTTCAAAGATAAATGTACAAGAAAACCTATGAAAATGTACCTTTGAGTCTTTGATGGCATCCTTACCTGATAAATAGAGAGTTGCTTCTGCACTGCAGGAAGATCATTCAGCAAGTCATTGCACAGGCTTGAAAGCTGTCATTCTGTTGGTTCTATATAAATAATTGCATTTCACTGTTACTTGGCTAGAGCATTACTTGTGCCATGATCTGTTGTTTCAAGCAACTGTGTTAGAAACCCCCAACATTCTCACCACAATCAGATTTCTTTGAATGCTGTTGTTGGTAAATTAAGGAGTAGGCTGTATACCCTCCTTTTTCATATATATATGTATATATGTATATATATATAAAAATGCTTCTGTTTAAAATGAAGGCTAATTGTGACTGGTTACCTAAAAACTAATTTCCTCTGCTACACACTTGGCAGACATCCATGATGCTCAAGTTGCCTAAATGAAAACCATTGTGGTTTGGAAAGGCAGTTAAGGTTCCTAGGGTAATATTAACCTTGCTCTGTGTTGAAACCCTAAAAAGAAACTTGATAAAACCTTGGTAATGTAATCTGCTGCCCCAAACATTCTGTCCAACTAATTACACTTCCATACTTATCACCTGGTTTTAAGGCTACATTAAGACTATTTGGACCATCCTTGTTGCTCATCACTTTAAACCTTAAGCTGGATTTCTAGAGCGTAGGTCATAATTGGAGCGCCTTTCATTTTAACACTTTTTCATTATCTTACTAATACTATTACTCTTCATTCAATTTGAATATAGTTTTTCTCTGGAACAAGTAGCTGGTGTTGAGCTGTAGAAGTTTTATGTATAGGTCTTCTGGTTTCCTTCAGCCGTCTGCATCACAAGAAACTTCCACAGACTCTTGCTTCTTCCTCTGCCCTGTCTTGGGATTTTCAATTTCCCTGTTCGGATAGCTAAACTGAGACTCCAAACCACCTGTCTGTGATAAATTCCTGCTATAGCACAATAGTTGGAAGCAGTCTTCAACTTAGGGATGCATCCATGGCATAATTCTTGCAACATCTGTAGGCAAGCATGCAGTGGTTCTTCTGACCTTAGACTAGGCTGTAGGTTTTGCCATTATTGGCTAACAGACACTGCAATCTCAGTTTCGTGACTCAGATTTTTGACTTAACTTTCAGCATTAAATGTGAAAGGACCATTAAATTTATGTTGTATTGGTTCTCTGAGATATGCCTAGAAGGTTATTGTTAAAATACAAGAGAGATGGTTATGTCCTGAACTTTCTCGAGAATTTAATGCAGCAAAAATACAATGCTTATCCTTTAATTGGTCTCTTTTGCAGACCCTGCACCATTCCTACTTTTTAGCCATGGAAATGCCATCTTTAGAATTGACACTGAAGGGACCAATCATGAAAGACTGGTGACTGACACAGGTCAGTCAACGCTTACAGATTTTCATTATGCGGAAGAGAAAGTGTATTGGGTGGACTCTGAAAGGCAACTACTCCAAAGAATTCACCTGAATGGCACAAAACAAGAGGTAAAGTAGTAAGTTTTCTGGAATTCTCCAAGTTAGGGGGCATAAAACCCTCTAAGGAAACCACCTGCTCTTTAGGTACAATGCTGCCATTCCTGTTCATTGATCAGCACTTCAGACTTATTTAATAATACCTTCTGTTGTTGTAATAGTTATGTTCCTGAATCTAGGCTGTTTTACTGGTGTTTAGAATACATTTAGTATTTTCTGTGGATTAAGTGAAGGGGTGTTAAAAATGAAGGAGAGGAAACTCAGACAAACTAAAGCTTTGAAGACAATAATGTTTCTAACATTAATCCCTGGCATTATGGAAGTTTGTCTTCCAGATTACTGTAACTCAAACTGGCACAATTGCTATGAGAAGAATATGCTTGAATTCCTACTCATTTTTTCTCAAACCTTCTATTGGTTTCTATAGTTGCATAAATGCTTCTTTTAGAACTTCATCCTTTGTTCAGAAAAAGCTATGCAGTTCATTGCATCTGCCTGATTAAGAAGGGCAGACAGGCTGCTGTGGCTGAACTTTAACACTGGGAGAGCCTTCTTTTGTTTGAGATTGCCAGGGTTTGTGTACCTATGTGGAGTCTTCGCTGATGTATTTTACATTGATTTTTAGGGATCAGGGTCCAGCAGCAGTCTGTTAGGAGGTTTTTCATCTGTAACAGTATGGGTCTTGGTATTTCATAGCTTGCCAAATGCAAGAATTTGTAGCTAAAAGGTTAGTCCAGTGTAGTTCTCATGGAGAAAAGTTTTCCCTTTTTCATGGGGTCACTCAATTCAGAAGAAGTATGTGTAAGTACAAGGACCAAATGAAAGGGACTAGAAAAGTAAGACAGAGAAGTATCTACAGGTCTGAGAGAAAATGAAGCAGGCAGAGGAATGAAATGGGAATCTTCAGTCTGGCACTCCATTCCTTATTTTGAAAGCCTAGTTTAGGGTAATCATTGGGATGCTTCTTGTTGTCAACTTTTTTCTTTTGTTTACAGAGGCTATGTTACATAGAAAAAGGCATTTCAGGGTTTGCTATTGACTGGGTAAATCAAGGCATTTTCTGGGCCAACAGACAGAAAGCAACCATAGAAGCAACTGACATGAATGGGAAGAAACGAAGAGTTCTTCTAAGAGGTGCTGGTCGTCCCACAAGGATTACCATTGATGCTGCGCAAAGGTAATTTTAACTAGGTTAGTAGTTTTAACTGAAACGGACTCAAAATATGCAAAGTACTATGATTGTGGTTTATAGGCTGCTGGGCTAATCTGGGCACAGTGTATTATCTATAGTCCAATAACTCCCTGAACTTTGACAAAAGATAAAATAATAAGCATATAAGAGATAAATAGAGAAGTGTGTGAGAAAAAGCCCTCTGAAGTCTAATGCAGAATCTATACCTCTTGGTCATCAGGGATAATTTTGCTAGTAAGGAGAGCTGAGGCAAAAGGTGTGTTGCTTGTTCTTTGTCAAAGTCAGCAAAATTTCAAGGCAGAGAAAACAGGAAAGCAGAGAGCATCAAAGGGGGAAAATGCCTGCAAATGCTGGGAGTCCCTTTTGCTCCAGACATGGCACACTTAGAATATAGATTGGTGTACTTTCTGAGAAAAAGGTTTACACTGAAAGCTGCATTTCTGTTTCTCTTATCTCTTTGTCAGTTGCTCTGAATATTGGTTCTGAATCTACCATTGATACTTTTGTAATTTGGCCTTCATAGAAATGCTTCTTTCAGCTTCAAGCCTTTTACACTGAGAACCTTACTCAATGAGAGGTTTGGCCACCCCACAAGTCATCAGTGTGAGCTGTCACAGTGGTCTCCCTATGATAATTTCTCTTTACTCATAAGCCTCTTCCATTAAAGTTGCAAAGATAAAAGCTTTAAAAGACTTTGAGATGCTTCTGTTTTGTACAGCAAAAACGTGTTTTTGTTGCCAGTTCTGATTCATAGTAAAGTTGCACAGCAGTGTGTGAAACTCTTTTAATATTAAAGCTTTTGTATCCTTTCCTAGTACATTTATACATAAACCAGTCTTCTAATGCCAGGAGCATTACTAATGTTCTTTGGAGTCTCGTCACTTGGGTAGGATTTAAAGGCCTGAACATCAGTATATATAATATTTTCTGATTTGCTATTAAATGTAGTATTTTCCAGTCTTCGAAATATTCAGAAGTCATAGAAACCACTGTCAAATGCCAGCAAAATAAGCTACAAATAGCATTATAGGGATATATTTGCTGAAGTTATGCAAAAGTCTGGGGAGACACAAATACGTATATTCACCTAGGTGTGACTCACCATGCATAAAAGCTGTATTCATGTCCTTACACGGAGGCTAGTAAGTCAGTAATAAACTGTAATCTTCTGTCCCTACACGGATTTATAAAAGTTGTGCACAGAAGCTATAACCACCTTGGTTTCTTAGTTTCCTTATCTATAAAAAGTGCATCCTAGCATTTGAACTCTGAACTTCCAGAGTACTGATGTTTATTAAATAACAGGTCCTACAGAAACGCAAACAGATATGAATTGTCTAAAAATGGCAGTATAAATATGGGGTGTCTTTCTGGAACACGTTTTCACTTATACATTAGTAATCTATGATAACTGTGAGGAAACTATAAGACCATCTAACAGTGCAGAAAAGCTGTGAGGCAGAGGTTGATTCTTCCTACTGGTTTAGTATAGCCCTTGCTAGTGAGATCTAATCCATTTTAGAGCCTTTACCAAAATGTTAATCTAAGCATAGTGAAGATGGCTTTATGCAGCATTGTTTTGTACATAGAAATTTTGTAATTTTGTGAAAACAAGGCAAAATGATGATACTTCTTGGAATTTTTGTGCAGAAGAAACCCAAACAAAAAATCTAAACCCAGTCATTAAAAAATGAAATATACGTGAATGAGGGATAACTTGCTATTTTGGAAGAACTGTTAACCTTAGTCACATGGGTAAATCTGGCTTCTAATCCATGAATAACTTGACATATAAGTAGCTTCAGTGCATGACTGTTTTGAGTATTGAAGTTGCATTTTGACTCTGTTTTAATTTAATAACAGCATAGACTGGCTGCTATAACCAGCAGGAATGCAGAAAGAAACAAGAACAATAATAGAAATGGTATTTTTAAGTTAAGCACTTAAGTGATATGCTCAACTAGAGTTTCTGGAGATTCCTCCCCGGAGGCAGGGGGGCAATGTGAATCTGCCTGAGTCATGCCTTTCCAGAAGTTTGCATGAGCTCCCCTTAGAATGAAGAGCTAGTTCCAGTTTCTTTCTCTGACCATATGTTGGAACAAAGCATGGAGACAGACGATAGTACATCATAGTTAAGCTGAGCTGATTCCTGCTTGACCTACATGAGAGAAAATTCTAGGATCTCATTGCTTCCTGAACAATCTCCTGAACAGCCATACAGTCTCTGATAGAAACACATTTATTAAAATAACAAAACAATGGTAACAAAACATCAGTGGTACCATAGCTTCTGTTAAACAGACAATGCTTTGCTGTCAAAAATTATTTCAGCTCTAAATAGAGCTATGTTAAGGGAAGATCCTGAAATAGGTGAGTATGTATTAAGGAATTCCTTTGTTTTATTATTAGTTTTGGTTCTGAAAGCATTGTGGTAAGACTGAAGATTTGTGTATACAGGAACAACTGAAAATTGGTAAGTAGCGGTGATGTGATCTTGCAGCTGTGGTTGTTCGGTTTATTTTGGTGGGGGTTTTTTATTGGTTGGGTTTTTTTTTTGTGTGTGTTTTTGTTTGTTTGTTCTTTTTTTCCAAAATATACCTCTCTTGCTTGCAGGCTATTATTTTGGTCTTCAGATGGTACTGTTTCAAGCGTACATCGACTGTCTCTCAGTGGAAGTGATGTGAGAAGTGTTTTAAGAACTACAGAAAAAATAAAGGCAATCTCACTAGATCTGGTTGACAGAAGGCTCTACTGGATCCAACATGACCATGGGAAAGACATTTCCCATATTGGATCATGTGACTATGATGGCAGAGCTGTTCGTTTGCTCAAAAACTCTGTCCGGTGAGTTTTCCTTAGCTTGTCCGAAAGAAAAGACTAATTTCCTGGGGATGTATGAAAGCTTTCTTCCTCATTCTCTCTTTCATTTTGTCAGTTCATAACATGGGAAGATGTATAAAGCGTAGTGCAAATGGCCTGTAACCGTAAATCTATGACTTCTGATAGGAAAATGGAAAAAAGTCACTGTTGTAAGGGTAATACTGCCACTCAGTACTTTCCATCTTCGAAGCTTTTAGCAAATGATAACTACTTAATCCTTAGAAATCCTCTCTGAGTGTTTATTAATGGCCTTTTTATGCAGATAGGGAAGCCAAAAGCAGAGATTAAATTATTTGTCCAAGGTCACAGTGGGTGAGCTCAGGTGTCTAAGCTGTGTTCAAGAGAGTAAGCTAGATCAGGCCCTTCCTATCCTCCTCTAAGCCTGTTGTCCTCCTTAGCTGTCAAATGGGGATGTGGTGAAAACTCTTCTACACAACAGACTTGTTACCTTCTGCTCCCAAGTGCTGGGGCTAAGTGCATCTGAGGGGCTGTTAGACCCATGTGCTGCTAGGTGCCTTTAATATTTGGTCTTCATGCTTTGCAGTGGTACAGATGCTCCATAGCATGCATGTTTTTTGATGAGGTACTCAGGAAAAGGTCACCTGTATCACTGCAGTCTCTGTCAGTATGGCTAGATTGGCATATAAGTAAATAGGGATTGCCAACAGCAAAATGAGAAAAATACATGGTTTTACTGGCTTTCTGATTTAAATATGCAGCACACCATTTGCATATGATGGACACAAAGCTGGTTTCTCCCTGCATTGGAGCTGATACCTAGGCTTTCTCTGTCAATTAAGTCAGTCCTGAATAACAGCTCGTATAAGCTGTAAGAAATGCAGGTTATCCATTTTACATCTATTATTTCTTGAAAATCTGAAGTATTATGGGTGCTGGATTATTTGGGAATGTGTCTGGTGCCTCATCTGATTCTCATAAGATGTATAATAATGCAAATAAATGTTAATAACAGTGAACTTAACTGAACTAGATACTCAGAAATATATGACTGAGTAAATATATAGGTATCAGGTAATGTGCCATTTTGTGTTATTTTCTTTTCTTGTAGACATCAATTGCTTGGTATGTCTCTCTTTGCTGAGTACCTGTACTATTCAGAGTTGAAATCTGGTATGATATGGAGAGCCAACAAGTATACTGGAAAAGTTGTAGTCACAATTAGCCTGAAGCCATCATTTTTTCCACCAGTGGAGATAAAAGTAGTACATCCATTTAAACAGCCGGGTGCAGAAAGAGATTCTCAGAATTTTGGTAAGTAAACTGTAATGATAGAGTTGTATGTGTGAGAATAATAATCATAGAATCGTAGAATCAGCTAGATTGGAAAAGGCCTTGAAGATCATCAGTTCCAGCTGTTACCCCAGGACTGCCAAAATCACCACTAAACCTTGTTACTAAGGGCCTCATCTGCACACTTCCAGGGATGGTGATTCTACAACTTCCTTGGGCAGCCTGTTCCAATGCCTGACTACTCTTTTAGTGAAAAAGCTTTTCCTGATACCCTATCTAAACCTCCCCTTGTTCAGCTTGAGCCTGTTTCCTCTTGTGCTATTGCTTGTTATTCGGGAGAAGAGACCGACCCTCACCTCTCTCCATCCTCCTCTCAGGTATCTGTAGAGAGTGATAAGGTCCCCCCGGAGCCTTCTCTTCTCCAGACTAAACTACCCCAGCTCCCTCACCTGTTTTCCGTCAGACTTGTGATCCAGACCCTTCACCCACTCTGTGCCCTTCTCTGGACCCGCTCCAGCACCTCAATGTCTCTCTTGTAGTGAGGGGCCCAGAACTGAACACAGGATTCTAGGTGCATCCTCACCAATGCTGAATGCAGGGGGATGATCCCTAATCCTGCTGGCCACTCTATTTCTGATATAGGCCAGGATGCATAATGTCATCCACTCTGATTTTTCACAGTAATAATTTTCTTTGGCAAAATTCCAGGCCTTGGTGAAGTCAAGGGAAGGTTCCCTGCAACTTCAGTGATCTGCAGTTCCACTTAGTATGTGTAACTCCAGCTGGATTATCAGGCTGAAAGTGTGCTGAGCATAAACAGCTCATTTCATTAATCTGAATACCCATGCAGATAAACGTGATTTTCTCCTTTTCTTTGTTACACAAAGATGTTTTCATACTTTCCTGCTACATGCACAAGGCATGCAGCTTTTTAATCCTCCGTGTAGATTATCTTCATCAAATGTCTGCTCCTTTCTGGAAATTTTATTCTAATGTGCATTTAAATACCTTCTATGATTATGGCACTGAAGGATTTTAAGTTCACAGTATGTGCTACAATTATACTGTCATATCTCAGCTTTGTTGTGAAATGTCTGGACTAATAGTCAGCCTGTTTTAGATGGACTTGGAGCTGCCGTAATAACTATGAAATAGGAGCATTGAGTCTCTTTAATTGGTATCAGTTGCAGCCTACACTATGAGGTGGTCATGTCACTGCCTTTCACTGTAAACCAGAAAATGAAGGTAGCTGCTTATGGATAGCTCACCCTCCTTGAGAATTCCTGCTGAGACAGTAGGAAGTTGGGGGTTTCCAGGAGAAATAATGTCTTGTTCTCTGAACTCTGGAAAGTAGACATACAGTATTCTTTCTTTAATGGAATAGCTTTTGTCACCAGTTTTGCTTGGTTATAAACAACTGAACAAATGGTATAGAGGCATTTCTTTGTCAAGCAATAGTTACAGAACTCCCAAGGGAAGATGGCCATGGGTTCACAGATGGCATAAAGACATAAGGACAAAGTAGTGTTTGTTAATATGAACAAAAATGAAACTGTAAATCTCTCTCTTGAACCATTTCTAAATATATACTATAAAATAGGCTTTGTCTTTCTTCATGTCAACCTACAGTTTTATAGGATGCCTCTCCTTCCTTAAGCCTAGTATAAGTGGGAAAATCAAAATGTTCAAAGAAATTTTCCCCTTCAAAAGCTTTATTTGCAGTGCAGAGAGCTGTTAAGTTGCAGAAAAGAGTGTTCCTGGAAATCAAGCTTATACTTGTAAACACAGGGAGCCTCCATTCAGAGCCAATACCTGTCCTGTGGTTCCTTCGAGGAAAACATTCATCCTTGCAAAGGAAACACTTTTTTCAGCTGACACATTTGGTGCTCTCACACAGAGTAACTAAGGAAGGATAAATTCGTGGTGCAGACAGTTCCACACATCTCAGGGTTGTTACAACAAGATTTGGAAGGTCTTATGAGGCTTATGAGGTGTCTGTCACCATGTCTGCATGAGCATGAAGATGGAGAGAAAGAAACAATTACCAAGAACGTTAGTATATCCAAGCAATATCCCTACCCTTAGGGATATTGCTTGGATTACCTATGTCATCTCCACCAGAGCATGTAGCATGATTTCATTGACTATGGGCATTTAGCTTTTATTCTTTTCTCAGAAGATTAATGCTTTAACCAAGATGTGCTGCTTTCCAGTGTTTCTCCTTCCACTGCAAAAAGGGTTTCACTGCCTTTATTAATAAATAAACTACAACATTTTTAAATGCCTTGCAGTATATATCCCTATATTTCCAACATGTTTAGTAATATTTTTTTGTATGACAGTAAGTGTTGTCAGCAGTAGGCCTTAATTTTATTTCAAATACCTTGTTGTAAAAATGTCTAGAAAATGATGGAGTAGAAAGAAGCTTAACAGGCTGAATCCAGATGAACCTTTTGGACTTTGGATGTATGTTACTTAGCTTATCCAGTGCAAGACTAGGATGAAAGGAGGACTAATGAGCCTGGCGTGCAAATGAGATTTATAGCTGATCTTACAACAGAGAAACCTGGAGATAAAAGCATACCTAGACTAATTGGATGCTCAGTACAAGCTAAGAAACTATTTGTTACAGTGTAGTGTCTGCTGTGAATTATCAGGCCTTCTTTAAAGAAGATAGCACGTGAGGTCCTTCAGATGAAAGGGGAACTGATGAGAAGTGCTCAACTGACATGATTTGATTTTTTTACTGGATTTTGAATTATTTACTTTACCACTTAAATACCTCATGTCTTCTTTTCCCTTTCTCTTTCAAAAGACTTTCCTGGATTGGTCAGGGCCAATAAATACAGAAAAAAGAATTAATTCAGGTACGGGTTTTCCAGACCCTCACACAACCACTTTGATACGGCAGTTTCTGGAAGACAGCCTCTAATTCACCTCAATGTTCTTAGACAGCTAACCGTAGATTTGATGACAGTATATGTATTTATAAATGCCTGCTGGAATGTTCTTCACACTTTTATTAATGGTTTGTAAAATATCCCATTACCTTAAAATCTTATAGATTGCCTCTGGATTTTTTTTTTAAATATCTCTTTGACAGGTTAATGATACTCAGTATACGCAGGATATTTCATTTTTTTTTCAGGAGTTATGTTGGTTTTTTGCCCAATGTAAGGTACTACCATCAGGCTACTATCCAAGAACAGCCATTACCAGATGAAAGAGGTGATGGGGAGAGAAAAAAACCCACCAAACCCAAAGAAACTAGAAAGTATGGTTTATAATTATTGTTCTTCTGGAGAATATTACGCTAAAAACTTTGTATCTCATAATCTAGTCAGCATTCACTTTAAGCTTTGAAATACGATATGTTTTTTTTGCATATTAATTTGGCATTATTGGGTTCTAAAAATTATTCAGTTAGAAAAGAATATCTTCTTGAGATTGCCCGGATGACAAGATTATTGCTTCTGTTATTTCTCCTGTAATTCCTGGGTATCTTAGGTCTCATTAGACCAAAAACGGTAAAAGCAAGGGGCAAAAAACCAGCACCAGTGATAAGCACAAGATGAAGCCTTGAATGTGGTCTTGTTTCTGCTTTATATTGTTTTGTACATTTGCATGTTTGCCATACTAGTGAGTTCTGTATTTGAAGACTGGACACCCCATTACTGTATATCCCTGACTCAGTTGCAGTAGGGACAAAGACTAAGGGTTCAGTTAAAAATTAATTCTACAAAAAGAGAAGCTCAGCTAAAACTATGTAAAATCCAAGTCTCTCAAAAGATAACATTAATCATAGACAATATCCATCTAGTCATCCATTGATAATTTTTCATTTAGTTATGCAGATTCTGTTAGAGAAGAATTTGTCATTTTGATGCAAATACATGCAATGTTGACAATTTCAGCCAATCTGAAGTGTCAGAATGGGAAATTATTTCAGTTGTTTATAGATGTGATCTGTCATTCCACCAAGTAGCCAGCATTTTCTTCTCTGTTGTGGCTAGCAGAAGACTAAATGTCAAACTTAAATATTATGCTGCTTTCCACCTCTTGGAATTTAGAGGGTGAATAGGAAATAGCACGAGAAAAATGTTCACATACAAATTTCTTTGCCTGTATGAGTTATATGTTAAATAGATATCACAGGGCAAAGACAGTGTTATGTGTGGGTGGCTGCATACTCACATTCAGTAGCAGCAGTTCAACTATTCTTAGCTTGGGAAAGGGGCAAGCACCCCAGAAGAAGATTAGGAAGATTAAACCAAAAATAATAGTTTGGGAGACAAGAATAAAACCATGAGCATAGCATATCTGCAAAAGTACCAGCTCTAAAATATAGCTGAGCATAGACATAAGTTTCTGCAAATCCTTCCCATGAAAAAGTATACCTGAATGCCGGTTTGCCTTTTTCTGTAAAGCAAAAGAAAAAAAAAGGCTTCTGGGGATCTTTGGGTACTTTTTTCTGTACCCGAAGATTTTTTCAAGGAACTTTTAACATATCTTGTTGGACAACAGAAGCAGTTTTAAATCTGAGTTCAAGATCTACAATGGTTGCATTTCTCATAGTCAGAAACCAGGATCCGTATCAGTACAAAGATTCTCTAGACTGCGCTTATACTTTTTGCCCAAAGGAAATGTATGGTCATTATGATCTGTCCAGCTGTTTTATTTTGTTAAATAACATGAAACTTGAGTACTGCTTAGTGTTAACAATTTCCAGCCTTTGTATGCTCCTCCTCTCTTTTTATCTCTCTTTTCTCTCTTTTTGCATGTGTGCTCTCTTTCTGTTGCTCTTTTCTGTGCAGGACTGGTGGCATAGGAAGCCTGCTGCTGAGAAGACACATCACTGAGCATCTTTCTCAAAATAGTCTCTCCTTGAAGGTTGATAAGGCAAGAACTCCATTACATTTAAATTATATTTGGTCTTACAGAAAAAGGAACTTGTGATTTGAACAAAGAAAAGTGCAGAAGAAGTATCTGCAGGCCAGACTCAAGGACTCATCAGTGCAGATGTTCTAGTGGCTTTATTTTAAGTCGAAATAAACAGTTTTGTGAAGGTAATATGTGAATCTCCCATCAGTTTTATACTATCAGATGAAAAAATTACTCTGTTCTTTTACTTTACTCATTTCTTGAGTATGAAAAAACACTCTTAAGATCTTAAAAATCAGATTGTGCCATTTAAGTTTTGTGTCCTTCCAGGTTCTGAGATAGTCTAAAAAGGAGACCTATGAAAGTGTCATAACGGCTATTCTTCTGAGAAATTTTGTCTGAGTAGTTAAAGGAGTTTCAGATAAATAGACACGCTTATGGGTGCTTATATAATCTTTAAATAAAAATTAAAACAGATCTATCACCGAAGGTGAAACATTAAAAAGTCCTGCAACAAGATGGCTTTCTGAAGTCCCCACTTAAAAAAAAAAAACACAAATGCTGAACATTTTTCTAAATGTTTTAATCTGGATTGTTTTAATGAAAATAAAAATATATCATTACTGGTAATAATAGTTGTTTTATTTATATATGAATAATAGCTATTTTTGTAAATCACTTTTAGAAGCATCTTTTTCACAACGTGACCAGATTTAAAAAGGCATAAAGGCATCAAAATTCCTAGCTTAAACCTGCCTAAGCAGCATCCATCCAGTTCTCAGGAAATTCACTAGGATTGCTTTTTGAGTCTCAACTTCTAAACCCCCTTTGGGTATTGAGAATTTTACTTAAGTTATGTTGGAGCTAAATATTTTAGAATTATTTTTGTCTGAAAAATGTATCTAATGTAATTGTTTTTTTTTATTTAACTGACACTGGAATATGTATGGGAAAGCATACTTTTGAAAATCCTCTATGTACCTAGGAGGGACACATGCAACCTGTGTAGGTTTTGCTAGGTTTGAAAAGCTGATGTGAATAAGGTCTGCAAAACTTGCTTTTATGCCATTTATTAGGAGAAATATATTTTTGTAAAATGAATGGGAAAAGGAGGTACTTTATGAAGACTGTTAGTTTGTTTCATTAATCTATTCCCTGACACAGGCTGATGATGTTATTCTGATGCAGCAACTGCTTCTTTTGGCAGATATCAATGAATGTGGCTTCTGGAATCATGGCTGTACTTTGGGTTGTGTGAACATCCCTGGCTCCTATTATTGCACCTGCCCGAGAGGTTTTGTTCTGCTGCCTGATAGGAAAACTTGCCATGGTAAGTAGCAGAAATACATAAATGCTTTGAGCATGATATTGGAGAGAGTCCTCAGTTAACACTGTAACTGCTGAAAGTTTCATGTGTTTCACTGCTTGCTTCCAATCCCTTATTATGTAAGCAGGATCAGCTTAAACTGAATGAACCAGATTCATACGTCACATTTACAGAAGTGTAAGTTAGATGCGAGTAATCAAGTGTGAGCCTCTTCAGGAGCAAAAAAGAAAAACAATAGAAGAGTCACGTCTCCAGAGAGACCTCTTTCCCCACATTAGGCTCTGTGACACATTCGAGGTCAATAAGCAGTTATATCTTTCTAAATGTGGTCTCTGAATTTGGCTTACGCTGGGTATCCCACAGAAGAATTTACACAGTCTCTAAATGAGACTGTGTAAATTAAATGCATGTTCATCTGTTTACAACAAATAATGCACACAGAAGTACTCATAAGATTGTTTAACCTGGGGATTTTCTGCCCCTGTGTGTTTTGTTGGATTCTTTTTATGAGTTAATCTGTTTACAAGAAGTATGCCTGAGAGAATTTATCCATATAACATAGGTACATCAAACAGGAAGCTCTCTGAAACAGGATAAATGTGGATAAATTAAAAGCAGAGAACACAGAGAAGTGGACAGAAAAAACAGTGATTTTTCTGTCAGTAAGCTTTAAGGACCATATTTTAGTCATAGTAAGAGTCAGAGGCGGAGGGCTTTTTTCCTCCCTTTATGCATCACTGTGTATATTCAGCCTACAAATTAATTAAGCCTTTCTGAAGTAACTCTAGAGCATAAAATGTGAAGTGCATCCAGATTTTGAGATCTTGGGATATTCCCACTCACTTTTCTATTTCATAATAAAGTGAAGCTTAGGCACAGACAAAGATCCTTCTACCTTGTTTCCATGGAAATAAAACACTGGTAAATGCCCCAAGTAGAAGTGCCAGTGCATACCAATGGGTTCAGTCCGTATCGTGGCAGGATCAGGAACTAGGGTGTATTAAATATCACTACCAGAGACTAAATGCAGCCATAGAGTCCAACAGACTCTAGCAGTCACTCTATTTTATACCTCCCAAGAGTCATTTCTCCCTCTGTATTTAAGAGGGAGCCAGGAGGAGGATTCAGTGACCCAAACACGGGGGTCCATGGTGTGTATGACAACTGCAGAAGGCAGCCAGATGTAACAGATCTATGGGAGACCTGCAGACAGAGGCTACTGGGAGTTGTGATATCCTTTTGTGTCCAAAACAATCCTTAGACACTATGCAACTCAGTCCTACTCTGGATGACTAGCTTAACTATGTGCCTACATTTTGAGTGGCTCAAATTAGATAGAAAATAATGTTTTTCTAACACAGGCTAGGGGTGCAGCATGGACAGTATAACTCCTTAACTACTGCAGCACAAGGCAGATATGTCACCAACTACGCAACTTGAGAGAGAAAGAAAGAGAGAAATGCAAGGTGAGAAGTCCACATGCTGACCAGACATTTTGATGCTTTGTCCTCCAACTCCAACTCCTTTACAAAGTTCTTCATCCAAAGCCACAAGCTCTGGCCGGAAAAAACATGAGATCAGTTTCTTGAGCCTCTTCATTGAGCTTAAGGGGTTAGAACAATCCAGTCCACAGTGCAGTTGCCATGGAGAAGCAGTATTTGCAACAGCTATGCACCATTTAAGCTGGTGTATGTAGCTGATTCAAAGAAGCAGCTGTGGGAAACTTGCGTTTGTTCAAGTCTGCGAGAGGTGTTGCCATGTGGCAGTAGAATTGGCATAAAGAGATAGAGCACTGCAAGGCAGAAGATGGAAGGAGCATGTCCTGTGAAACTGCATTAAATAAATACCCAGAAAAATGTTGGCACTCCAACAACTGAAAAGTAAAGGAAAGCTATTGCCAGGTCCTCAGATGATTTTGACCTTAGAGCTTTAGCCATTGCCACTAAGGAACATAGCTTTATTTCTGGAATATTCATCTCCCATTTTTTCTTGGTTCTAGTTCTGTTACTTTTGGAGTAGTAGGAAAGTAGTTTTTCCTCATTCTCTTTGTGTTTTATGCTTATTATTTCAGTATAACTTCCTTGTAGTTTTCAAAACCTGATCTATTTTTGATGAAATGTAAAAAAGAATGTTTTTAAAATTATTTCTTTTTTTTTTTTTGTAATGCATGCCCATACAATTTGGAAAATTTAAAGCTCATCAATATTATAGCTTTGGGACCAAGAAATTTTGTCTTTCTCATTTCCTACAATTAGGAGAGGGTGGGGAAAAAAGATTGGAAAAACCAAAACAAACCCCAACAAACCCCAGAAAGACCCCAGAAGTGTTGTACTTTCAATACCACGTTTTTATTATTTTTTTTCTTGCTTTTTCTGTGCTAACATCTTTTTTGGGGGACTTTGTAGATTTTTTTAACATAATTTAAACTCTTTTTCCTCTTCAAATTACTGTAGAGCTAATTTCCTGTACAAGTAACAACACTGAATGTAGCCATGGTTGCCTTCAAACATCTAAAGGACCTGTTTGTTTTTGTCCTGAAGGATCTGTACTCAAAGTGGACGGCAAAACATGCACGGGTACGTAACTTTTCTAGCAGTGTTGACTGCCAAGCTCTGTTTATTCTTGGCATTGAGATCCAGGAGTGAATGAAAGCCTTTTACACTCATTTTGCACGGCTGTAAATGATTGTACAAGATTGAGGCAATGGAATGTCAGGCACTTTGAGTGCTGAGATGAACAATATTTATCTTCATTTTTTAATAGATGTTTCTTAGCAGCAACATCTGATGTTTGCAGACGAAATGCCTTTGTCGTCAGTGCAAATCAAGGCATCTCCCAGATGTTTGGTTGCAGGATACATCTAAAATTTGTATTAGAGGAGAAATACAGGTACAAAATCGGCTTGGGTAAAATCTGAAGGTGACTTTATTGACATCATGCAACCCAGGTTTAGAGTCATTCTAACTTACAGCAATTTCATCTGATTGCCCACAAATGGAATTTTTGCAGTCAGAATATCAGAAAAATGCTGCAGCCAGTAATCTCTCATCCTCCATTCCAGCAAGCTCCCCAAATTCAGGGGACAGTAGCTTTTCAACTATATCTTTACTTGAGTAGGGGTCAAAATAACTCCATTAGTGCCAGCCACTCGGCTTGAAAAATCATCTTCCCTTTTTGCATCCTTTACACACTGCGGACTGTACTGGATACGTAGGTTCAGTCGGTGCTGCTGTTTTGTTACGAACACTTCACTGAGGAAGCTCTGGCTGGCATTGAGGCTATAACCATTGTACAGCCCCAGGAGGAAAGAATAGTTTCTTTTTGCATGAAATCTTGGTTTGAGTAATAGAAAGTATCAGTTCACCATCCTAGTCTAGCTAACTTCTGGGGAGAGAATGGCATTAACTTGACGTTTCTTCGCATGGAATGCAAAGTCTGATAAAGCTCCTATGTTATTGTAGAGGGGGTGAGATTTACATGGGAGAAAGAGTTCTCTGAAATAACAAAGATATGGAAGCCGCCTTCATATATACCCTATCCCCACTCCATCTTGTGCCGTGAATTTTCAGGAAAGACTCTGGAAAGATACTGCTACTTTGCTTTCACTTCATTTGATTTCTGCTTTCATCAGGAGGTATTTCAGTAAATATGCAAGTCATTGAGATGCTTTGTACTGTAGAAATTCCAAGGGAATCATTATTTCTCTTATACCTCTGATTTTATGTCATTTTTTCTTAGAATGGCAAAGTTAAATTTTTCAAATGCTCTTTTTAAGGTTGTACATCTCCAGATAATGGTGGCTGTAGTCAGATATGTTCTTCACTAAGTCCATCCTCCTGGGAGTGTGCTTGTTTCCCTGGATACAGGCTTCAGCAAGACAGAAAGCACTGCACTGCTATAGGTTCGTATCTTGTTATGCCTGCAAATTTCTGACAGTGAAAGAGTAAACATTTTAGAGTCCTTTAAAGTGGATTGTGTAGCTTGGATCCATTTTTGCACTGGTTTTAGGCTACTTTGTGAAACTTGGGAAACACTAGGTTTTTTTAAAAAATAACTTATTTTAGAAATATACTGGAACAAGCAGCAGTGTATGGTTCAGTCTCCCTCATGGAAGATTCAGTCTATTATCCAACTTCTGCATTTCACTCTAGGCTCCTGTATTGAAGAGATCTATCTTCACTTTTCAGGGTTTTGTGCCTTTATATAAATATGGGTGTAGTTTCTGCCCAGTGTTACAGAATTGGGATTGAGTGTCTACATTTGGAGAATAGGGCAGGGGATAGTCTGCACTACTATAATCTGTCCTACAAGCACAAGAATATTTCTCCCCCACTGGCCTCAGGAAGCTCAGGTATTTGATGTGCCTGTTTGGGTTTTGGATTCCAGAGCCTTCTGTTTCTTCTGAGAAAAGGGCAGACCCTGTTGAACAGCAAGGTATGAGCAATTGCATGAGAGAGGAGCAAAGAGAAGTAAGTCTGTAATATGTTTCTGGGATAAGGGAAAAGCTTTATTTATTTTTTTTTTTGAGAACAGCATTTTTCTTGCTTATACTGTGAAAAGCTTCATGTGCAAAAGTCAAGTGTTCTGACATTTATGGTGTTGATGTGAAATGCAGAGGGAAGACTGTCTTGAGGCTAAGTCACTCTCTGAAATGCAGCAGAACTAGTGGCTTCTTTCAACACAAATCTTGAAGCTGATCTTGGGCAAGGCACTGATGCTGAATACCTATAATCATATTTATCTTTGATTTCTGAGTCCAGTGGAATGTAGAAAAAAATGTCTTCCTTTGTGCTTCTGTTTCTCATTTTGTTTTCTAACGTTGCTTACTTACAGCCTTAGCTAGGTAGTAACACAGACTAGTGCTCACTTTGAAACTAGTGAAATTAACATATGTGCACATTTTCATCAACAGGTCCTAAGCCATTTTTGTTATTTGCAAATGGCCAAGATATCCGACAGATCAGTTTTGATGGAACAGATTATGCAAGTTTACTTGACTGGCAGATGGGAATGGTCTTAGCACTGGACTCTGACCCAGTGGAAAACAAGGTAAGGCATTAAAAATGAGAGGATTTTGAAGTGTTGCAAGGACAAATGGATTGGGCTTTCATGTGCCTTAACCTTTCTGTGTCAGCGATCAGATTACACGTTGTGCTTCTCATTGTTCTGTTGCCTGTCCAGGAGCACAACTGCTACAAGATGTCAAACACTAGTTGTGGAGTTTCATCCTTTATTCACGGATTGACTGTTGATGTTGAATGTACGTTGACATGGCTAACTCACAGAGAATTTGGATTTCTAAATTCATTGCAAGCATGATATAATTTTCAAAGACCTTTTGTATGATTGATAGTTTTCTCCCTTAAGACTTCAGTACTGTTTTATGGAAACGTATTGTGGGCTTTTTCTTCACTGGGTAGCTATAAAAGCAACAGTATCTTTTTTTCTGTATAGCTAAATCCCATGATCTCTACTAAACGTAGGAGTGATCTTAACAAGAATTATGTCCTATGTCCTGACATTATAGAACAAAACTGCTGAACACTCACTGGATTTATTGCTCTTATAAAGCGTTTTCCTTATATTACAAGATATTGTAGTTGGGAGTGTCCTCTGCATAAAGAATTGTTTGTGTGGCTGCGTCACAGTGCCCTACTCCTTGCCTGTGGAGCTGGGAAGAATAGACGTTCAACTGTGCTTTGCTAAACCTTATGTGGCAGGTAGTTATTTTTTTCCCATGGTGGGACTTGTTCACACTGTAAAAGCACTACAAAATGATACTGGATGGTACAGTTTAAGCTGATGAGGAACTCGGTTGAGTTGCTGCACACATTTCAAGGCCTGGGCAGACACAGTTAAACAAGTGTGAATGTTACCAGATCTGTGCTACAGGAGGATCACTTCAGGCACTACTGGAACATCACCACATGCTCCTGAAATAGGGCCCTGATGGGAAACTAGCAGTTGTTGGGTGCTGTGCTGAATGTAATTCAGCTGCGTCAGTGACAGTGGCTGTGTATTGTTGTCCACTTCTGTAGGGAGCTCAGCATGACAGCACTGTTGGCAGTGAGGAGGTGGGGTGACACATAGGTGGCACTGAGATGAGGTATAAGGTGAGCTAGTGCTCAGCATTGTTCTGCGCTCCCCTGGTAATTGAATTAGCCAGTTTAACGCTAAAGGCCACCCTCCCGCTTTGTTTGACCTCATGGTTAGCATCAAAGCAAAGTTATTTGTTTTGTTGTCATCATTTGCAAAGAAAGCCTCAGCATTACTTTGCATATGATTCTGCCAAATAGTGTTTGGCTCCATCTGGGGATCAAATACAAGCCAATTTTTTCCCCCTCATCCTTGGAAAACAAACTTAGTTTCCCCACTAGCAGAAAGCTTTTATTTTGACCCAAGACTGAGAAGCCTCTTCTAGAAATGTTAATGTTTTACAGAACAGAGACCTGGTAAAACATTAAGAGAAGTGCAGGCTGAAAGAGGCAAATTATATAATTCCTTTCGCCTTCCCAGCTCCTTGACACACATACACTACTACTCTCTCCTCCCCACTCCTCCCTTTTTAAAATGAGCAGCAGTGCTTTTGCCTGCCCCTACTTTTGCTTCCTCAGCTGTGCTTCATGTGAGGTAGCTGCTCACTGAAACAAGACCACAGGATATTCAGAGGTCTGTATATAGGGCAACCAGGATTTGCAGCTAAGCACAAGCTGCCTGTAGAAGTCATCCTGGTTGAAAGATAAACGCCTCTTTATTTGTTCAGGGATCACAGGTTACCTGTGCAACCTTTTTGTGAATAAGCAGTTTATGGAACTTTCAAAATGAAAAAGTTATTTTAGAATGGGAATTATTAGACAAGAGAAATGGAGCAGAAAGTGAGATGGGAACTGACAATGCCTCGTCTTTTGTTTCTTCACAGATTTACTTTGCCCACACTGCCTTGAAATGGATAGAACGAGCTAATCTGGATGGCTCAAATCGTGAAAAAATTATTCATGAAGCTATAGATATACCCGAAGGCCTTGCTGTGGACTGGATTAACCGTAAATTGTATTGGACAGACAGAGGGTACATGCTCCACAGTGCATTTATGTTGAAGCATGCCATAAAATATTTGGAATAAATGACTGGTGATACAGAAATAGCAGAGATATCACTCTAAATTCAGGAACGCTTCACATTTTGATTGGGTAGCTGCAATCTCAAGTATATACAGTTGGACGGTTCTTTAAAACTGACATACTGGAACTTTACTTTGAGTCTGCTACTGTATTTTTATCTTTGTCTTTCTAAGAAGCAAAGGTTTGGACTCGATTGCAAGGAATCTAAAGCATGTACTGCATATATACATATACATATGTGCCCATGTGCATGTGAATATATATGTATACACTCCTATTTATATATATGTACACTGCATGTGTGTATCTCTAGGTATATCTTTATATATATACAGTTAGATAAAAATGTTAAGTATTACTGCACTGAATACGTCTTGGGCAGAATTCAGCATTGTTGACAGGTGCAATCATGCCCCTTTAAGTTAATGGAGAGCCTTTGTCAACTATCTTAGGTAAAAGAGGAAGGATCACTGGCAGACAACATGACTTCACATTTTATCTGGTACCTAACTTTGCAGAGAGAAACAAAACTGTTCTTTGGTGAAAAGACAGTGTCAGATCAGAACACACAATGAAGACTCCTTGAACAGCAGTCACCATGTTTCAGTATGACCCATCATTTATTAGTCAATAAAAAGTAGGTTTGAATGTCCAGATCACACTCCTCACTTTTATATATACTGCCATCCTCTTCCTTGCTATAAGGTACAATCTTGTCTACACTATTGCACTCCTGGATAAATATGCCACTGCTTCTTCTGAAATGGGAAATTGTGGTGCTTGTCTCTGTAAAAGGGTCAAAGGTGAAGCTGTGAATTTTTGTCTGCCGCTTTCTTCTCACTCACTGCATTTATCTGTATTCCACATTTGCACAAATATATTTCTCCTTCCATCTTTGTGCAGCCTTTCTTTGCAGGTTCAGAAAGGCATGGAAGGGTGTAGGCTTGCTTTCAGGTAGAGCCTGATATTTGTTTGGCAAGGTGAAGCTTGTGGCAACCAGTACAGTTTTCTGAAAAAAGGTTGGATTGGAAGACTGGCAGTGTATATTCTGTACTTGACTCTGCTGTGGATTTTATGAGTCCTTTTTATCAAAAGGACTTTAGCTTCATTCTTTCCTGTAAAATAGATAAAATAAGTAAAATGCTTGGCTATTTCTGAATGAAAAATGCTATGTAAAAGGTCTCGTTTAAAAATTCTTTATACATTTGATAATGCCATTCAATTAGGAGCTTGTTTTCTGCCTGACTCCCTTTAAAGCTAACATTTATCTATTAGCGATCATACTTCCAACTCATTATCTGCCCAAAGAAGGAGAACTTCATGTCTCCTGCAGAGCAGCAGGTATTTTATCATCTGGACCAGATAATGAAGCTGTAACATGAACTACTTGTTGATAAAACTACTAGGCATCCCACATCAGCAGGATTATTTCCTGTCATTGCAAAGTTATTTATTACAGTTTTGTGCTGAACTAAACCAAGGCAAAAACTTAGTATTTTAGGTAATTAACAAGATAGCATGGAGGATCTAACAGTGCTGTGTGTGTTGCAGGAAGGCGTGCATTGAAAGGAGCAATCTGAATGGAATGCAAAGAAAAATGATCATCTGGGAGAATATCTCCCAGCCCCGAGGGATTGCCATCCACCCATTTACTAAGTAAGGAGTAATAAATGTAGCTAATTGTGTAATACTTGGAGAATTTTCTTAAAAATGAGCATGCCAGCCTTGCCCTTTTGGCAGTGTAAAAGTGCGCTGGTCTCATGTTATAATAGTCACTGTCTTGTAGTTGTGAGGACTGCAATGTTTTATTGCTGGGTTTATTTTGTGAGTTGGGATGTGTTCACTTCTCCTATGGATTTAAAAAAATATCAGAAACATTAAAAGATATTGTATGCAGTTTAAGCTAAAGAAATGTGCAAGCGCCAGAAATTACCCTGACAGCTGTAAGCACCACTCTACAAACTTTGATGAGGCTCTATCTATTGGTGTGAAGAACGTAGTTTATAAACTACTTAAACCAATGCTTCCTACAAAGGATTATTTTTTGTCCATGTTTCAGTTTTTGAGGAAACTAAACCAGACCTGCTGTTGTAGAGATTTGTTGATTTAAATGCACCTTATATTTTCTTACCTAGTGCTGAGATGATGACAGGAGTTTGGAATGTTTAAACTCCTGATGAAATTCTGGCCATTTTAGTCAAAGGCAAAACCCCATGGATGTCAGTCAATATGCCTCCTGTAGTAGCATGTTTTTAAATCTGTTGGATTCCTTTCTTTATCTTTCTTTCTTTTTTTTTTTTTTTTAATGCTCATATCCTGCTATAACTAAGTACTGATGAATCAAGGAATGAAGCAGAGCGGGAAGGGTGTTTTGTTAACTTCACGCTGGACATATTAAAGACCTGAAAGAACCTCTTTTGGTAGAGGTTGAATGCGATAGACATTTTGTAGGAAAACATTTAAGAACAGGTAGTTTAAGGGAGATTTGCCTGTTAGGATTACTGTCAGAGGCAAAGCTAATCTACAAGGGGAAAGGGAGGGGAAAACGTCACTGAAATCTTCCTTATTAGAAAGTTAACGGTGAAGGGAGGAACAGCCATTATAGCAATGTCCATTGTAAAGTCACTATTGAAGGGGGATCTGAAACATAATTAAAGATGTTGAAAATACTGATCCCTGCATTGGCTACAACAAAACTGCTTATGTAAATAAAGCTAAGTGAGTATGTGGGTGAATTCAGTAAACCTGACAGAGGCAGCTGCTGCCTGGGAAGGCTGGAGTCCAGACTTTAGAAGTAATTTGTGATTTTGGCTATCCCCATATTGAGGTGGCATCAAGCAATGTGTGTTCATTGAAAAATGGGATGTACTTAGTCAGCAACACCCAGGACCCTAGAGGGGGACCCTGAGAATCATGATTTTATGAAAAGAAGAAAAGAGGCTGGGCCTGATACTGGTTTATTAAAAAACAACATCAAAAAACCCACAACCATCCAACCAAAATAAATCAAACCCACAAAAACCCTGAGGACTTTTGATTGCTTTGCATGGGTGGCAAGTAGTTTTGGTGTCATTTGTGCATTGCTAAACCCTTGCTTAGACGTTTTTAGGCTAGTGCATTATCTTCTGTTGTCTGGGTTTGTTAAACTGCTATCAGCAGTCATGCGGAAGACACAAAAAGCAGATATAAAGAGCTGGCAATTAGCATAAGCAGGCATTGTTGTTCAAAGGTTTTGTGGCAACAAACAGAGTGAGAATTCTGCATAAATCCCAGTGTAATCATCTGGAGTCTTATGGCAAGTGTGAAAAGATCAGCAGCCAATATATTTGCTTGAAGCATGCAATTTTTCTTATGTGCCTTAAGGCCTATATTGCTCTGATCTGACCTTTCTGCTTTGAAAGAACTCCATGGAGAGGAGGACAAACATTTACTTACTGACTTCCTGTATGCATTTTGTTTTCTAAAGGAGATTATTCTGGACTGACATGGGGGTCAATTCCCGGATTGACAGCTCTTCATTAGAAGGCATTGATCGCCAGGTTATAGCCAGCACTGGTCTGGTGTGGCCCAGTGGAATAGCTCTTGACTACTTAGCTGACAAGGTGTACTGGTGTGATGCTAAGATGTCTGTGGTTGAGAGTGCAAACCTGGATGGTTCTGGTCGTCGAATTCTTGCCCAGAATGATGTAGGTGAGGCTTTGGGGTTGATAATTACCTGTTGCTGCTTGTCAGTGTGCCTGTGTGTCTGCACATGTGCATGTGAATTACCAGCCAGTGGCTGTGGTGTATATTCCATGCAACAATCTGCTGAGGTTAATGGCATCAATTAGTTCTTCATTCTGTAACCTAGTTGGCTTTAATTCATTTTAGCAAAAGAACACTTTTCTAACACTTTCTGCTTTTACTAATCCATCACTTTGCATTCTACAGACAACTTTTCTGCCTTCACAGTAAAATGGAAAGAAAAAGATTTTTAAGCATGGTTCGCTTGTTCTGTGTATGGCTGTTTAGTGTTATTCAGATTTTGCTGTGTTTATTACACCAGTGAATTATACTTGCATAAGCTGGAACAGAATTAATCTTGGCTGTTAAGGTCTTTGAGCAACGAATCTGCATCTTCACAGTGTTGAACACTGAGATGGCTCTAAATACACAATAGACACTGACTGGAAAACTGATTTATGCAATATGCTGGTAATTGTTATGTCTGAGATTTCTATTTGTGACAAGTAACTTTTTCTGGAGTAAGAAAGCAGAAGTATTAACAATGAGGAACTGATGCTGTACCACATCTAAAGTAAACCATATGTATAAGAATCCTGTACATGGCAAATTAGTTTCTGGAGAGAAAAATTCCTTTTGTGCATGACATCTTTCTGGGGACAATTTTGTTAGTGTGTATACAAAACATAGCAGAATGAGGACTCTTGGCTCAGTATCATGATTGCCATGGGTAAAGACTCTGCACTTACTCTGTCAAGCAGCTGCTGCTCTAGTCTGTGCTCTGGGAAGGTTTGCATTCATCTCCTAATCAGATACCCTCCCACTTGTTTGAACATGAGCAGTGTGAAGTCTTGAAACAAGCAGTGTTCTGCAGTTCATAAGACATCAAAAGGCCTGGGCAGAGTGACTCCTCAGCATTTCTCTCTTTTCCCCTGCTCTTCATATTCTGCTGTATGCTCACCTTGAAACTGATCTGCAAAGGAGGACCCTGAAGCCTGTTGAAAGTGTCAGTGTTTTCCTGCACAAGGAATGAGACAGTGTCTTCTGGGGAGAAAGCAAAGAAGAACTAAGAGCACTGGAGAAAAACAGGATGTGGGAAAGGAGGAGGGCTTGGAGCAGTGATATGGCTGTTTGGAAGTGGGAGAAAAGCACATCATCACCTATGTGGAAAGAAAGAAAGAAAGAATGTGCAAAACTGTAGGGGTATGAATTTAGAAAGGTAGGAAGACTTGATATCCTGATGTTTTGCCAGCGCTGTTAGTGAAACCAGAATTCAGCTTCTGTCCTTGGACAGCTGTACACTGGACAGGAAGGTGGCATCCCTTCATAGGCATTTAACATGGTATTTTCTTTTATCACAGCAGCTCCCTCTAGTGCCCCTGTACAGAGAATTCATTCAGTATAGTTGCATACAAAATAGTTAAAATTATTCCTGCTCTTTCACCTGTTTTCAACTGTAAGTAAAACAGCCTTAAGAGCCCACCTAAGGCAGTGAGCAACACAACCATTCCTTTTGTTTAGGCAGTGAGTGGTGTTTGCACCCTTGTGGAAAGGGTATATGGGGTTATTCATTTTCCTGATCCTGCTATCTCTATTGATGGCACTATACTTTTGGTTTTAATCCTTAATATATTTCTAAGCTAAGATGTTAAGGAATTGCAAGTCAAAGTGGGGTGTTGTTTGTTGATAGTGCATGCTATAGATCCCAACACTGTGAGGGTGGGGACAGTACCTAGATCTTGAGCTAGCTGTTCAAATTTCATGGAAAGAAAAACTAAGAACCACACTCCACCAAGCATAGTTCAGTTGAGGTAGCAAACTGCTAACAGAATAACAATATGCTCTTCAGCTTAGCAGCTGAAGACAGTGTTGTAGAATTTTTGTTGTGTACGAGTGGGTTTTGCCAGTTTATTTAGGATGTGTATTTAAGATATACCAACACATACTCCTTCTCCAAGGTTCCTGTTGTAATCAGTGAAAAGAGAGGAAGTAGCTTGGAGGATCTACTGCATTCTGTGTATTGTGTTAGCTGTTAGTTAGTTGACTAACAGACAGTAGCTAACTAGCCACAGCCTACTGCTGCTAGTTGGCTGAAGTGAATTGGTTCCCCTCCTGAATTTTGCACTGTGAAAAAATTGGCTAGTGAATGTCTGTGCATGTTTATATATACATGTGGACTACTGTGTTGCACTTGTTTGTACTACACGTTATGGCGCTTGCAGAGACCACACAGTGGCTTTGGGTCCTACCATGAGTCAGTGGCTATAGTGTCTGTAGCTCCCAGGCTGCCCTGTGCTGGTACACTTTTGCAGGATGATACATGCCATGAGCTCTTCTTTTTGCTGCTATGTGAAGACTGCAAGAGGAGCTGTGTACCTCAGCAACTCTGTGCTGGGCCACTTACTGGCAGAGGAGGGAGCCGCTCCACTTCTGCAAGGCTGGTTCCAATGCTGCTTCAAGAAATGATGAGTCTAAGGTAGAAGCATCTTGTGAACTTGATCTGGTTGGAGGTCACCAGCGGTATAGAGATTGTACTGAGTCAGGCAAGTGTCATAGCCTCCTCTGCTAAGAACATAAGTAACATGTTCTCATGGTCCATCATTCAAGGACTCTTACCCCACTCCGTGAGACATCAGTGGAGAAGTGGCTATGGCTATGCCACTGTGTTAGAGGTAGACCTGTATGCAGATACTGCTTTTGTTTACGTGATTTCTTGTGTGTGTTCTACAGATGTGTAAATGAGAAATCTGATTTCCTTGTAGGCCACCCTTTTGGTGTAGCAGTGTTTGAGGATCACCTTTGGTTTTCTGACTGGGCTAGGCCATCACTAATGAGGGTGGACAAGAAGACCGGACAAAACAGGGTACGTCTTCGAGGCAGCATGCTGAGACCCTCATCAATGGTTGTAGTTCATCCTTTGGCGAAACCAGGTATACTGCAAAAATTACGCAGTCATTCCCTTCCAGCCTCCTCTTGTTCACTAATATCAGTAGAATACATGTCCCCAGGGAGAGGATTATCTTCTCAGAAATAGGCACTTTAAAAGGCCTTGACTAGTAAGACTGGCATTTATTGAAAGCACCATCTGGGCATGTGTCCCAGAAATGCTAACAGATTTCGTACACTTATGATCATGCACAAGGATAGATGCTGATCAATTGCCACAAGGCTAACACAGAGTTCTAATTCCTATTTGTCTTCATTTATTAGCATTCCTCACACACACAAATAATAACAAATGACACAGGGAAAGATTTTGTAAGATTTATTAGTTTTGGATCAAATAGTTTGATTTTCTGTTCGGAACAATCTCCCTGTAAACAGAAAAACAGGCCAGGGTTGAAAGAAAGTAATTACAGGTTCCCTCTGCCTTTGCAATATTCTTTCAGGGAATGTCAGGACTCTAAATATTAAAGGAGAAATAGAAATTAAATAAAAATAAGAGTGATGTATGCATTAGATACAGAGTATGTGAATCTGCTTCCAGCCAGAGGCTAGGTGAGAATATTTATGCTTTACTATATGCATCTTTTTTTAAATTAACAAAAAAAAAAGTTCTAGTTTTTGTCACTCCTTCTTTGTTTTCCAACTGCTTCAACTCTGCCCAGTGAAAAGGAGATGCTGACTGAAGAAGCAGCTTGTTAAGTTACCTGTTTTTCTTCATTAGGGGTAAATCCTTGCCTTTATGAGAATGGAGGTTGTGATCAGATCTGTGAAAACAATTTTGGAGTTGCCCATTGCACATGCCGTCCAGGATTTGGGAAAACTCAAGATGGAAAAGCCTGTCGTGCTCTGGATGCTTCCAACACAACAGCAGGTACCTTCCTTCAGCACCAACGTAAGAGGACACTTCTCCTTCCTCCCAAAACCCTTGAAAATCCTAATAGCATTGAAAAATATTCACCTTGGTCTACATAACAAATGGTAGTTTCTCTGAAGAATGAAAACACTGGGCTGTTGTCCTGGGATAATAGTATGTTGTCTGACCATTGTAATTTTTCCCCTGGCCCAGTATGAGATGTTTGCAGTGCTGACAAATATTGTGAGCAGTGAGTTGCATTATTTGTCTTTTGTATTTGAGAAATGCCACCAGTGAGTGGTTTTAGGAATAATTTGAGGCCAGAAACAGGCTAGTCTGGGATGGTACTCATGTTTATTTTAAAAGAAAACAAGTGTGATTATTACAAAATCGACAAGTGATGGAAAACCGGAAAGTTAGTTCGATAGATTTAAACGGTCTGACACTTTTTTCTTGTCTTTTTAGGAAGTGTCTCTGCACACAAGGAAGTAATGCCAATGGCAACACCAGACACCTTGCTCCAGAGAACACAAACCAGTGGGATATTCAAGGATACAGACAATGGGGAAAGGCAGAATATTGGCGTTTTCTTGATGGCTGAAATCATGGTATCAGGTAGAGTCTGATGATTGTCTTCCTTCTATTTACTGTGAAGCTCTGAACAGGTTTATAGAACAGAAAAAAAAATCATAGCCCTTAAAGGTAGAAAAACTGAGTGTCAAGACTGGGGGCATTCACTCTCTTAACCCTCCTACAAGAAGGGGGGTCTCTGCAGTTATGCTGGGTAGGATGGCTTTTCAGTTTGATTGTCTCCATGATCCTTCACTATGTCAACAGAACTTGATAATGTTATCCAGGTCTAGAGAACAAGTATTTCTAATTTGGGACACTTGTGAAACTCTTTCCCTTAGATTTTATAAATATATTAAGTTCCTCTGAACAAAATAGCAGCAAACGCACTGAATTCTACATATGGTTGGTGACACTAGACCATTAAATTATACAATAGGTTTTGTTTACAGAATTCAGAAATCTTGATACTAAATGATATTTTAGCTCCATCTAGACAAAGACAACAGCCCTGATGATTGTATTGACTTGTCATCATTAACCCTAGAAAGCCAAGTTTCAAACTTTGTATGTTCTGGTATTCTTCTTTTTTTTTTTTTTTGTTGGTTGGTTTGTTTTTTGTTTGTTGCTTTTGGTTGTTTTTTTGTTTGTTTTGGTTTTGGTTTTTTTTTGTGTGTTTTGTTTTTTGGTTTTGGTTTTGGTTTGGTTTGGTTTTTTTGCCTGGGGGAAGGGGTTGGTTTGGATTTCTTTTTTTATAATATATATATATATATACATCCTTTGATCTGTCCACATGCATCTACCGGTCATTTTCTTTCACTTTGTTTATACAATAGATCAAGATGATTGCTCAGCACTAGAATGTTTTGTCAATGCAGAGTGTGTTTTGCTGGAAGATGGTGCAATGTGCCAGTGTTTGAAAGGATTTACCAGGAAGGGGAAATCATGCTATGGTAACAAAATACATTAATACAGCCTTCTGAAAAACTGTTGATTTGGAAGAAAATCTATCTTTTCTCACATTGGCAGCTCTGCGGTGTGAGCTGTCAGAGAAAGGTCAATGGTATTGCTTGTTTTGAAAGGCGTGGTGAGCAGAAAGCATGTAAGAGGGAATGGTTAATTATTATATGTTTTGTTTTCACCTGAGTCATGAGTGCTAATCTTATTAACAAGTGATAACATGGATAATGAAAATAAAAGCATAATGTATTTATTTGTAAAAACTACCTAAAAATAAAAGTTCAGTCCATAGTCATGATAGTTGATGTATAATTTAGAAGTAGGTAGTAAGGAATCTCTTAAAATTAGTATTCCTGATGTAATGTTTATGTGAAAGGCTGTTCTTGCTCCTTTCTAGCACTAGAAAAAGACTAATAATCAGACACCACATTGCTTGGAGTGGTCTTTAAGTTTTTGGACTTGCATACTGTGTAAATGGAAGCACTTTGTTCTCTCATAAAGGCCAGGCCAGGAAGGCATTAGAAACAGAACAATTTACCATCTGATGTCTAAACATGGAGACTCAAAGGAGTCTATGTTGCTATGGAAAGGGAAAAAAAAAAAAAGGAAGGTGAAATGAGTATAATTTTTTTTTCATTGTGGTACTTTTTCTATTCTAAGCTTTTGTTTTCTTTCTCAAAATCAGGTTTTTCTCTGAGTAGGGTTTTAGAATAAAAGGCTAGTTTTGAATAGGATCATTCCCTCCAATTGGGATTTTTTTTTTAATCAAGTGGTATTTGTGGAACCTCTAGGTCTCCAGTTTAAAGTGGCTGGTTGTCTGTCTTAGGCTCTTCAGAACATCCCCATCAAATTTTATACCAAGAAAAGCCCTTCTCTTCCCATTTACTTCAGATGCGTAAATGACAAGTGACAGCATAGTCTGAGGGAGATTCATGATGTAGACTTTTCTTTTTATCGATTTACCTTATGGTTTCCTGGCCCATGTGTCCCTCCTCCCTGTTTTGTCTCACAGATATTGATGAGTGTGCCGTAAATATGGACCGCTGTAATAGAAACGTTTCAGTCTGCATCAATACGGAAGGGGGCTATGTTTGTAAATGCCTGGAAGGCTACACTGGAGATGGAGTCCATTGCTACGGTATGGGCATGTGTGAGAACTGTGCTGTGTCTGAAAGGCTGGGGCAGGATGATTGAGCAAATAGCATGTCTTATGATTTGTGCTAGCCTTACATCAAGCTGTGAAGCTGTCATACAAGCTGTTCTGCTTCTCTCTGAAAAATCTGGTAGGGGCATGGATCCTAACAGTGGCTCCCCTAGACATTTATCATTTCTTATTTTCCGATTCTTTCCTTCTTGTCTCAACTGTGGCAATATCAGCAACTGATCAATATGCAAAGCCTGTAGCTCTCAGTGGATACCTCCTTTCAGTGTTTGCCCTTTTTTCAGTAGCTATAGCAGGAGAGAGAGGAAGAATGAAGGGGAGGAAAGAAGTGGAAGTGAAGCAGTAGAGCTTTATTGGAAATCATTGCCATGAATATAAACGAAAGCAGGTATTGAGTGTGTCATAATACTCATCAAATAATTCCAGGTCTCTTTAATAGGCATGAGGCTCAAGGTGTGACACTGACAACTTGAGTACATTTAGAGTCTTGTTAATAATCAGACCCACTGATTTTTTCCATTGAGCTCTAATGCCAGGTCCTTAGTTCATTCACTTCATTTTGTAATATTTTAATCCATTTTAGCTGCAAGTATCAAGGAACAGGAAGCTTTCTCCCCAGTGTTTGACAAGCACACAGTTTGTTCAGAGCTTTATGAGAGTGTTTTCTTCTCTTGTTCTTTTCCCTTTTCTTTTTCCTTTATAGCCTAATTCAAAGCCCATTAAGTTTGACCCAATTCTTACATAGTCCTTAGTGGACTTTGGTTCTTTGACACTGACAAGGATGACTGAAAAACTAAGAACAGTATCATTATTATGGGCAAGGTGAAAAGTATCAGAAGCAGGAGGTTCAAGAGTGCATTCTACCTATAGTGGTCAGAGATCCAGAGCTTATGTTTGAGGATGTTTGGAAGTGCAGACAGAAATGACAAGCTTCTCCTGCTGTTTCAGTGCCACCTGCAAGGTATATCCTTAGGCAGCCCTGGGCCCTCACTGCCTGTCCTATAATTGCTCAGTTAGAATGATCGTGGTACTGATCACTACTAATGAAAAGCAGTTCATTATCTTCCTGAAGTCCTTAAGTCTGGAATATGGTAAGATAGTTTTCACAGTGTTTTATAAACAACGCAATGTTGTTGTGACGTAAACGAAATTGAAACTAATTCTGTTTTTTTCAAGCTTGACATGTAATATAAAAACCAGAAACTGGTGATTTTGTACTTCAATTTTAGACACCTGCATTCCATACACAGTGTCCAGAGATGTTGTCAGAACATCCAAAGATGGTATAAGTTCATGTTGTGTTGTTGAAATCACATGCTCCAACAGTTTTATTCCCATATTTTTGCTTTTAAAAGTGCTCTGAATTGTCTGTAGTGTTCTGGACTATAGCTTGTTTAATTTTATGGTAGAAAAGTCCCAGTGGTTTATGCAATAATTTCACACAGATTGGCAGGGTAGATTTGTGATTTTGTTAACCCAAAGTAGATCTGGCAAATGTATTCTGCTGACAGTTCATAAAGTGAACCAGAGGCTCCCAGTCTCTGGTATGTGAACCTTTTGAAAGCCTACACCTTTGAGGAGGGTGCTTAGGCACTCAGCACCATGCATGTGCCAGGCTGTACTCATACAGGGTGAAAGCTATGACTAGCAATGCCAGAAGTCTTCTCCTCAACTCTGCTGCATTTGTTCTATGCGGAAGCGTTTCCTTCCTTCTCCTTGTGGAGAGCTTCTGCAGCAGCATAGCATGTTCCGAGAGGCTAGGGAGGCTGTGGCTACTTGGCATAGGAAATACGCTGGTTGCTTTTCTGTTACATTTACATTTGCATAAGGAAGGTCTTTAGTGTTTTTCTCCAATGCCAGGAGACTTCAATGCTGCAACTGCTGCCCTTTAGCTGATGCTCTGAGGCATTTCATTCTTCTAACTGCAGACTGTTTGGGTGACAGATATTGATGAGTGCAAGATGGGGTCCCACACCTGTGGAGAGAACGCAGCCTGTGCAAATACAGAAGGAAATTTCACTTGCTTGTGTGCTGATGATACTTCTAGAACTGTCATCAGTTCCAGTGAGTACATGGAGTGAGCAATTAAAATTAAATGTCCCTTAACTGAGAACTGTGCTCTTGGATAAATTGTTATACCTGGAAATTAAGGAAACCCTATATAGTGACAACGGGCAGCTTGTGGATCCATTTAGCATTACTTTTGGAGGCTGTTTTGGGGTGGGCTAAGGAGACCAGATTCAAGTTTAGCTTGGAAATACCTACATTAAGGTTCAATGCTAATTTTTACTGTCAAATATAATGACACATCTACCTAACAGCCTTTACAATCAACAGAAGCAAGTGTTTCCTAGAGGTAACATTTTTTGAGGTGGTTTCAGTCTGTGTCATTTTTCAAGCTTTCTGTGCCTTCTTCCCCTTTGCAGAAGGCTAGCACAAGAACTGCACATAATTTAAGTCCCATTTAAGCTTCAGAATAAGTCAGTCTTTCAGATCAAGTGGCTAATTTTTTCAAAAGGGCTCTGAAACTCTTTAGAAAATCTGGTTGCCATTTTGATGATGGGAGATATTAGTTTAATGATAGGAGTTAATCACTATTGCCTATCTGACCCTCCTTTCAGGGCTTCAGTGTGATGGCAGCATTCTCTGAAAGTGTGGAGCTGAGTGGCTTATCGTCTTATTCTCTGTCAGCCCTCTTCCTCAGGATGAATTTTACTCCAGATCTGGAGTAAAGATCTCCAGACAGCCTAATGATGAAATGACATTGTGATTGTCACAGATCTGGTTTTGCAGAAAACCAGAAGGAAATAATGGCTTTTTAAAGCAGAACACCTGTCAGAATCGCCATCCTCTTTTCAGTTACTTAAACTTTCAGTAGCTTCAAGTGTCACTCAGGACACTTGAATTGATTTTAAGTGATGATGATTTTAAGTGCTGCATGACTTGGAAGTAATGGCTTCTAGGTCCTTCAGCTGTAAGTCTGATTCCATATCTTTGTGGGTTTTAACACACAATTTTAGTTACTTGCCTAATAAGCTCTTTTAGCAAGTTGAAAATTCCTTTACAGAATGCAGTCACACCTGAGGGTCAGTAAAACCATTCATCCCTTTCCACTCAGGCTTTTTGCCATGGCAGTTCTCCTGCAAACGAAAATTTAAAAACCAAATGTCACTGAAGGTCATGTTGCAGTACAACTGGTGTGAGTCATAAAACTGGTCCCATAAAATGTATGAGAGTGATAAGGCACATTTCTGCTCAGCCATACTGCTAGAAATTCTTTGCTGTGTAGATATTTGATTCTGACCTATAGATTTGATGTAGCACCAAAGAAGGCAAAAAAGCATTTATTTTCTATAAGGGCATGACTGCACTGTAGGTCATTCTGTGCAAGATTTAGAGCTACCTTTAAAGCTAGCTAGTCTAGATATCTATATAAATGACACTGCGTGATTCAAACTTGGGTCAATTACTTCCCCAGTAATGCTGTTATCTGTACCTGAGCTTGAAACTATAAAAAATGTAATCTGCAGTCGCACATAGATGTAATCAAGTGGATGGCAGCAGAGTAGAAATAATTTGCATAAGATCAAGTTGCATGTGGAAACTTCTTAGTCTAAGATCCAAATGCGTGAAATACGGCCACCCTTCACCTGTACATATGACTCTGGTACTTTGTGCATGGTTAAGATTTACCATACCCTAAAGCTGCACCTTAAATAGCATTTAAGCCTAGACTGACTAGACAGTCAGTGAAGTTTTTCTTCAGAGCTGTACTCACACATCTTAGACAGAATGCAGCCAATCTCTGTAAGTCTTTCATTGCAAATCTAGAATCAAGCATATTTAGTATTTTGGTCTAAATTTCTGCATGCTGAAATTCAATAAACAACATAAACAAAGGACTAAAACACAAGTAATTGGTCAAAATTAGAGATTTTTGCCTACTTTCCTTAAAGTTCTGGAACTCTTTTATACGATGCTGCCAAAAGTTTGAGATACCCTTGTGAAATCCTGTGTTTCAGAAGCTACTGTCACCCCCACTGTTGTCAGCAATGAATATTCTACAGTCCCTGTGCAAGGTGATATTGTAGGATGCCCTCCTTCATATGAGTCATACTGTCTCCATGGTGGAGTGTGCAATTATGTTGCTGATCTACAAGACTATGCCTGCAAGTAAGTACGGAAATTTGTATTGTCTGTGCTGATGAGTGATACTGTTAGGGCTCAGTTGAGTGCAGAGTGAAGTGTTTGTCCGTAAATTACCTGTTCATCACTCATGCTAGCAATTACCATCAGACTCTGCTCTTTTCTGTTAATGATCAATCCATTCACACTCATTGCAATATTAATAATAGGATTGAATTTGTCCCCTAAGCACTCGATTCTTTGCTTTGGAAATGTGAGATAAGTTGTGAAATGACTTTGAGCTCATGAATTTATGAATGAGGTGATTTCTCTCTCTCCTGTGTAATGATGACTTATACTTCCTTGTTGGCCCTGCTGTTCATGTGTTCATCCAGCTGTTCATCCCAGCAGTCACTGGGATGGAAAAGGACCCTTGAGACTCTGTCTTGTCTTCTCTAACTGGGACCAGACAGGAGAAGTCTGGTGTCAACATCTTCCCTTAGAGTTTGAAGAGTCTTGGTTCCTGGCAGAAAAGGTACCACATGATGGTCCTCTTAAGAACAAGGAGAGTAGCAATAAGACCTCAAAAATGAGACCTCCTTCCTCCTGTCAATATTTCTGTGAAGCCTCACTCGTGCTTCCCCAAATGCATTTACTGGTAAAAGCAAAGAGAATCTCATATCAGCCTTGGCCTGGTCAGTGTGACAGCAAAGTGCCATGGGGTAATCATTTCTTCAAAACCATTAGTGCTGGTGTTTAATTGTGTAACTTGATTGTATTTGAATCTGTGCTACATGTTTCTTTAAAATCAAGCATAAAAGTAATTAGAGTGGGACAAATCCAATGCCTGTCCCCTCCCCTGGGGTCTCACCTGGTAAGTGAGGACCTGTGCAGGGGATACACGCTGTTCGATTATAGGAGAATCTCTCTCTGTGTCTCAGAAACTTGACTGGCCCTTGTATAACCCTGGAGTAAGGAGAGCAAACTGTTGCTGATGGGTTTCTCTGATCCACCATTCCCCCTGATCTTCCTTGTACTGCAGTGCAGGAAACTCTGTACCAGGCAATTCCTGCAAGCAATGCAAATCCTAGTCTTCCTTATTTTTAAATATAATTGGTCTCCCCTGCCTACAGAACTCTGTACTAGCAGGAATATGAAAAGGATGTTATAATTTCGTGTACATATGTTGAAATGAAGTGGGTGCATTTTGCTGTGGATTTCCCAAATTCAGCAAAGCCTTTGGGGAAAGCCATTACAGGAGATGGACTCAGGGTCATCTCTGGTATTTGCTAGAAATTTTTAGTGTCAATTTTAGAGGAATTGAAAACTTTTCGCTCCTCATTGAATTTCTCCTATTGAAGCTAAAGAGTCTACAACTGCAGAACTTTCAAATTGGATCACATCTTTCTTCTTTTATTTGCTACGTAATACTGTATAATAAGAATCTAAATGTATGTATTCCTTAGCCGTGCAAATGCAAGCCGTGTAAAAAATGAAGGAACAGTCGTGTTTAGCCATCTTGAGAGCCAGGATTTGTGTGCGGACCTTGCTGAATTCTCACAATGCTGAATTCTCACTAGATGGCAGCATTCATTCATGTAGGCTGTAGTATGTTAAATACCAAAAAGAAGTCATGGAGAAATGTTACCCAGCAAAAATCACATACTAAATGTGATTTGTATTTTAATTAGTAAAAGCTCGTACACTACAAACTAATCTTCTAGTTTGTTTGGAATTTATTTTGATCTTACATTAAAAAAATATCCTTTTTTTCCCTTCCAACATATGTATATTCTGACTTGTGACAGAATAAGTGCTTGTGCCTGATTTAATAATGTGTTTCAGAACATTAGGTAAAAGTTGCTGCAGGTCAATTCCTGCTTCTTTTGCTCATTTGATTTACTCTTTCGACTTATATAAAACTACGCTGATAATTGGGAGAAGGATTTGAGGTTATTTTGCAGAGAATCATAGAATCATAGAATAGTTAGGGTTGGAAAGGACCTTAAGGTCATCTAGTTCCAACCCCCCCACCTTGGGCAGGGACACCTCACACCAAACCATGTCACCCAAGGCTCTGACCAACCTGGCCTTGAACACTGCTAGGGATGGAGTATTCACAACCTCCCTGGGCAACCCATTCCAGTGCCTCACCACCCTAACAGGAAAGAATTTCCTCCTTATATCCAATCTAAACTTCCCCTGTTTAAGTTTTAACCCATTGCCCCTTGTCCTGTCACTACAGTCCCTAATGAAGAGTCCATCCCCAACATCCCTATAGGCCCCCTTCAGATACTGGAAGGCTGCTATGAGGTCTCCACGCAGCCTTCTCTTCTCCAGGCTGAACAGCCCCAACTTTCTCAGCCTGTCTTCATACGGGAGGTGCTCCAGTCCCCTGATCATCCTCGTGGCCTCCTCTGGACTTGTTCCAACAGTTCCATGTCCTTTTTATGTTGAGGACACCAGAACTATACACAATACTCCAGGTGAGGTCTCACGAGAGCAGAATAAAGGGGCAGGATCACCTCCTTTGACCTGCTGGTCACGCTCCTTTTGATGCAGCCCAGGACACAGTTGGCTTTCTGGGCTGTGAGCGCACACTGAAGCCGCTCATGTTCATTTTCTCATCGACCAGCACCCCAAGTCCTTCTCCTTGGGCTGCTCTGAATCTCTTCTCTGCCCAGCCTGTAGCTGTGCCTGGGATTGCTTTGACCCAGGTGTAGGACCTTGCACTTGGCATGGTTAAACTTCATGAGATTGGCATCAGCCCACCTCACAAGCGTGTCGAGGTCCCTCTGGATCCCATTCCTTCCTTCCAGCATATCAACCGAACCACACAGCTTGGTGTCGTCAGCAAACTTGCTGAATTGAGTATACTTTTCATTTTTTATATTTGCTATTTCTTTTTTTATATCTCTTACCTTGGGCAGTAAAATTAGGCTAAGATTATATTTGATATATTTCTCACTTTCTAGTAATTCTGATTTGAGGGTTTTGTGGACTGGTAAGATATTTCCATATTGGGTTTTAGAATGGTAAAACCAAACAAATAATCAAAAACTTCCTGCAGAGAAAGCCTGTTATTAAGACTTAATTATGAAGATATTTCTAATCCCATACAAGGTGGTGGTTGTGGTTTTTTTTAAACCACTTTCATTTGTCTTTTATTTAAAATAAGGATTCAGATTAAAATTTGATTCCGTTAACCAAACCATTCTGAAAGTGTGATTAGGTCCCATACTGGCTATTTCAAAGAAAGGGCAGCCTGCTGCTGGAAAGTTATATGGAAAATCTTAGGGAAACACTAATCACTAATTATTTTCTTCTATTATTTACCTATTGGAATCTGAAAATTATAATCTCTCTGTATAATTCTATAGGTGATTTAATAGCATTACATTAAAAGAAGTCTTTTAATTTTGAATTCTACAGGTTTTAACAGCCGTTCTTTTAAAGTGATTAAGTCTTCACCACTACTAAATTCAACCAGGTATTTCTCTAATGGTTGCCAATGGTAAACCAATGTGCAAAGTGACTGAAGTGATGATCTGCGTTTTTTCCTCTGCCATGAGTTACAAAACATGCTTACTTCCCTTTGGTAGCTGTGTGACAGGCTACGTTGGGGAGCGGTGCCAGTTCAGTGACCTGGAGTGGTGGGAGCAGCAGCATGCTGAGCGGGTGAAGATGCGGAATATCACCATCACTGTGTGTGTAACAGGGCTGGTCCTCCTGCTCCTGCTGGGCTTCCTGGCTGCCTACTGCCACAGGTAGTGTTTCCAAACACATGCCGTGAATATGTGCCACAGGGACTGAGGCTGACTTTCACGGGGGGCTCATGGTGAAGAACATGAGCTGTTCCTCAGCTGGTGGAAATCACCGTATCATCCTACTCTTTTGCTTGTCAATAATTGCATCTATGAATAATGCAGAAAGATCTGGCATGTATCTTGCCTACAACACTCACACTGGTGTTAGTGAATGACATGTCTGGGGAGAAGAAGAATAGATCTTATTAGGCTTGAAGAGAAGGAATAATTTGTATTGATGAGAGAATTCAGGAGCATGCTATTTGCTTCTTGTTTGATTTCCCTTAAGAGCTCTAGATGTCTGAAATTGTCATGGCAGAGTTTGGCTTTTCTCTGCTAGCTATCCTGCTAGTTTGGTTTTGCTTCCTTTTCAGTGTAGCGTTACACCAGAAATTGTCCTTGCCATAGAGAAAAGCAGCGTTCTAACCTTCCACGTGATGCCTCAAGCAATGAATGTGAAAGTAGTTTTCCTTGCAGTAGAAAGAATAAAATCAGGGTTGTGAGCCTAAAGCACATCTGTTGTAAAAGTATGCCCTGGCATTTTCCATGGCTGTAGTGAATTGTGCAGGTTTGGGATTCTTTTCATGGCAAAAAAGAACCCCTGCAGTCACTATTTGAGAACCCAGTGTGATGTTAAATTAAATGTCATCCATATCCCTTAGACTGGAAAGTATTCAGCATTTAGTAAGTTAGAGTCTTTTGGCCATGACCTTGGCAAATAACTGTTCTTAGAAGCTCTTGTTTAAATGAATATTTATATTTTCAAGTAAACATATAAAAGCCAGACAGCAGCCAAATCAAGAGTCTTCTACTGAATGATGGTGACCTGCCCTCCACGTGCAGGGGTTTTGTTTGTTGTTTAAGCTAATTTTAAAATTAGACTGTCCTAGGCACAAAAAGTTAAGTTACAAAAGTAGTTAAATATGGAAGCTAATATTTTTCCATAAATATGGAAGCTAATATTTTTCCATTCTTATTTAGTGATTCCTAGCATATTTAGTCTATAAAGTAGAGAAGCTGCCAAATTTCTTATTTTCTATTAACTACTGGTACAGGTCTGGAATTAAAGCTAAATTCAGACTGGTTTGTTCTCATGACCTGGGATTGAGAAGCTAATCAGTGCAATGATACACGTAGCATAGACAAATCATGAGATTCTTTTATTTCCCGTATATATCATATAAACTTATGTCATGAAAAATAGTCAGAATGTGGCTGGGTTTATGGTGTGAAGATATTCTTTCTCTTCTGTTGCTCTCTCTTTTGTCATTTCTCCCTGATTTACCTTTCTTTCTTGCCAAATGCTTTTGATCAATACAACTATTTATCTCAACAACAAGTTTTCAATTACATGCTTGACTGAATTTGTACTGCAGCTGTTACTAGCATAACTAGATAAAAATGAAAACACTGACCTAAAATCCCTATTTAACTGGAGTCTAAAAACCAGCATTTGAGTTGAAATTGCTATGCAGCTTTTTCACGTAATCTACTGTATTTTGAAAAGTACTGGTTAAGTCTGTAATAGTCCTGTTCCTCCCCTTGTAAAATAGAGATGCCTATCTCATTTTAATTGGAAGAAATGTAGTTGAAGATCTACACCTGCCAGTTTGAAAAATGTGTGAACTGAAGGCCAAGAATAAGAGTATTGGGTTGGTTTCTCAATGATTGAAGCCTGATGAAGATCATTGTGTTAATCTTAATGTTAGGTTAATGTAGTCTGACAAGCATGTAGTATGTTGTTTCCTATCTTTGCGGTTCAAGAAAACAGCTCTTTTCCAACAACAGCAAAAAAAACCCCCAAAACCAACCAACAAACAAACAACACAAAAAACCAAACAAAAACAACAACAACAAAACAAAACTAAAAACAAAACCAAAACCCAACACTGAATAACAGATTTCAACAATCTCTTCACCTCAATTGGCCAAGGCCATGAAAAAAAGAGTAGGATTGGGAATGAGAAATTCTTGGCCTCTTCGCCATGCTTGGTCAACTAAATTTCACTGCCTTGTCTGCTTGTGCTCAGTTGCACATGAAGACTCCCATGCCCACCAAGTCCATCTGGCATCTGTTACTCTGCATGCTATAAAGTAAGATGTAGAATTAGTGATCCTCTTGAGCAGGGCATCCAGCTGGGGACTGTGTCTGTATGTGAGATCTGTGCAATGGATTTTAGGACTCTTAAGTACCAGGCTTGAGTTTCACCAGCACTAGGAGCTGCAATGCAGAATGGGCACATCTGAGTGACAAAACAGGAACAGCAGCCTTGCCATTGTGTCAAGAAAATTCAAAATGGACTAATTTCCCAGCATTGTGTTCTGTGGATATATCCTCAGATCTGGCACCTGTTTGTGTTTTTATGAGCAGTCCCAGTCTTATCCATTACTGGAGGCAATAGGAAGATGTAGAGAATCTGGTGAGAAAATCCATGATGGAGAGAGATAGATCTTTCTCATTTATAGCAAAAAGCAAATTTTCTTTACATTGTATTGTCATGGTGGGAAAAACATTCGGTAATTGCAACACATGTACTTCGCCAGTTAGTATGTGAATGTGATGCAAAAATAAAAAGAAAATTCCTATTTTCTTAGATACATGTCTATTAAATTTAATTTCAAATAGCTCAAGTAAACAAATTTTACAACTTGAGATTTCTGGAATTTGAAGAGTGTAACATTAATTTTATTAGTTGATGCCTAGGAGAAGAAAAAAACATGTATGTAAAGTCAGTATAAATGCACTTATTTGAGGCTCAACCAGTGTAAATGAGTTCTTTTTCTTAGGACCATGTTTTCTCTGTTGGGGTCTGTATGGGCTTTTAATAGTGCCTTACAAGCGATTGCTGTTTAACTGCAAAATTACCATTTTTTAAATGTATGGAACTAGCTACTTAGGGCTGATTATCTGTTTCCTTTTCCAATTCCAGGTTGTCCTCTTGGCTTTTTTCCCCCTTGAGTTAATTCTGTTGGTCATACTTTTTCCTGGAAATGTCTAAATTCCAAGTTTTTGTGGCTTTCAGTTTGTTTATTTTATAGTAATTTCTGATTTTTTTTTTCATAAATGTTGCAGATGAATGGCAGAAATTACTTTCATAATTGTAGCTATCAGTGGTATACAAAAATAAAGCCAGATTTCTATTTCTGGGCTTCACTCACAATGTTCATTGTGTGGGCTGAAACCTAAATCTTTATAAGAGGAATGTATTAAAAATAGCATAATGTAAGAAAAAGGAAAGAGATAGTTAAAATTATGAGGCCTAATTTTTTTTTCTCATAAATGACCCTTTACAGATGGCACATTAGAGCAAACATTTGTTCACTTCTTACTGACTTCTGTTTCTGACAAGCTGCTTGTTTTAACCACTGTGCAGTAATTGACAGTAATACACCCTTCCAAACCAATGAAAGAAAACGAATTATATGCCCCTTCTGTAAATACCCATAGCATAATGTGTGAAAGGAAGCAGCATCTGTTCCTCCCAAAGCAAAATAATTTGTTTCAGCTTTTGTTCTGTTGCAGAAGTCAAAACCTGTCTAGGAAGAATCTCTATGCAGAAGCGATAAGAGAAGCCAGCAGCCATGCTGACAATGAGAACGTGACAGCTACTAGCAACAAGTCTCGGGTAACTATATTAATGTGGAGTGGTGAGGGAAGCAGGAAGGATCAAAGAGTGTTAGGGATACACTTGAGATTATCCATCAAATAATTCACATCTTAAATACATTAAATAACTGCTAGAGTCATCAAGTGCTTTGCTGTGAACCCTAGTTCATCTTACCTCATTGTTATCCCTCAAAGTTCACAGCTGTCTGGATGTATTGCAACCATTATCCAGTGTTATTGTTAGCTTTGAAAACAACAGTTGGGGAACTGTGTTCTAAATTAAGGAAATGGCAATGTGATGACATGGCATATCACAGAGTTATTTTCACAGGAAACCATGCCCTCTGTAAAAAAGGCTTCTTGGAAGTCAAGTATGCGCTCCATGAGATGTTGAACTTTATTCTGGGGGCTGATGAAATTAGGTGTTTTTATATTAGAGGCTACTACCTTGTAAAGAGAAACAACCAGAATGTTATTGGGCAGTTTGGGAGGGAATATAAAATACTAATTTTGCACTGCTGTAGATAGAAATGCCATCACGATCTGTTTGTACTGGCCTGTTTCTGTTGTCATTTTTGAAGTTGCATCAGAGAATTTGGCCCCATCAGATCTGACCTAAGGACCTGATCCTCACTGGTATTAAAATGAAATTACACTGCTGGGTGGATTGCAATTGAAACTTGAAGTGTACAAACAAAAGTGATGTAACTGGCATCTGTGCCAGGTCTGAGACTCCTTTCTCAGAAAGGCATGACTTATCCTGAGAGCTTGTCTGCACACACATATCATTCAGCTCTGAATAAGCTGCTATAATGCAGATATCACCATACTTATCCAGGTAACATCGCATTAGCTAAGCACCATAGACTCTTCAACTACAGTTATGCCCATGGTTTAGATTGTCTGTTTGTTAGTGCATAGGCACTGAAACAAACTATCAAACACATATTAAGAGTGCTGAATTTACTTGACCCTGGTTAGGATATATTGCTCCTTAGCTGGGCAACAGCATGCTCTTGTGGACCTTTTACTACCAACAGAGCTCCTCCAGGTATTAGTCAGCAAATGTGCTTAATTGTGGCGATGTCATCATTTGTTCACAGCAGAGACAAAGAGCACAGTTTACAAAATGTCTGAGACTAAGAAAATCAGAAACATTTGTTGGGAATGAAAACAGCTTGTTGCCTAGGAGCATTGCTTTAGGAGGCCTGCAGAACATCAGCTCTGTCCCCACCTGCTGTTGTCTCCCCAGTTAATGCTAGTGGTCAATGATATTTTTGCTGAATATAGGAGTAATTAAGCAGCTAAGCAATGGACTGAATCAACAAAAATAAATCCAGCCTACTCATCTATAACACGTGTTAAATTTCACCATGAATTCTTGCACTGGGAGACATCAAATACATTAATGATGTAATTTATTGCAAATGGCTTGTTGCAGGATAGCAGAAGAAACCACTGACCCTTTGCTAATTACTGCTGCTTACACAGTAATGGATTCCTGGGGTTTCATGCATATGATCTTCTCTATGCTGATGTAGCCATTGAGTGTTAAGTTCACTGGGACTTCACGCATGCATGCGCTAAGGATAGAAACTGTTGAGTTGTCAAAAAGCAGCAGAAAGTTGTCCATTTCTACTGTTCATTTCAAGTGGATTACTGGAGACCTTTATGTATAAAAAGAAGATTATACTACATTAGGGGTAGAAAACTCTATAGCTCCTCAACTTTTAAGGCACTAAAATAGGTTTTTGGGTGCTGTTGATTTACCCAGCATCAGTAATCCTAATGAAGGACTCTGTATGGGGACTGGATGATGTGTGACTTTAAGGAGCTCATGCAACTCACTCATTCTGTAGCCCACAGTGCTACTGCTCATTTGTGAGGGTGGGGTAAGGGAGTGCAAAGACTTCCTTGTTCTTGCCCATCTAGGCTAATGTAGTGGGTTACAAGCTTTTATGCTATTACACATATCAAATGCTAGGTATTGTGATACAGAAACTATACCTATAAATTGTCCAGGTGTCATTCACTTTTTCCTTTACTTCTTTCAGGTGAGACTACATTTAGCTAAGGGTATGCCTGGGTATTTTTTCACATTCATATTAGAATTCCATAAGCCAGGCTAGGTTTGCCTTACGGATATGTAATCCTTGGTAAACTTCTGCACTTGTTCGAATTTTATTGCTGTTCTGAGACGTTTCACCCAGCAAGTGTTCTGTTTTGCACAGGCAAAGATGTTTTGCAGAACTGTGTGTAGCTGAATCTCCTCCCGGGGTCTGTCACATGTGGGTTAGCAGCTGTAAGACTACAGATTTTATGTAAATGAACTGAAGCCTAAGTAGTCACACCTGCTACATCTGTGATCTATCCACATAAATCCACCAATTACCCACCTGGACCTCTGAATCTGTCAGTCCTTCTGTTGGAACATCTTATTTACAGATGCTTTCTGTTCTTCCCTGTCTCTGCTCTTTCAACATCCCCCTTTTCCCTCTATACTATTTCAGCACAGTGCTTCACATAGCTTTCCTCTGCCTCTGAGTTTTTTCTGTTTTCCTCCTGATCCCCTAGAGGGTCCCATCTTCTGCTTCCGAGGCATCGCTTCCACTGACACCATCGGATGATGGCATTGCACCCCCTAGGTGGTGCCGAGCGCCAGAAAGCATTTCCTTCCCTGTGCCTGACAGGGTTTCTTGCTGTCTGACTGCAGGTCTCTAACACATTAAAAGCAGTCCTCAGTACTATGGAGAGGGTTAGTTTTCATGAACTTTTGCTCTTGCTTCTGGAAAGGTTGATTTGCAAGGCAAGAAAGTGGGTTGTTCTCTTCACTAGACTGGGACTGTGTACTTCCCAAAGAAAGACTGGGTCTGTCATCAACTCAAATGTTTGATTATCTGCAGGGGAAGGGTCATTCCAGAAGCCAGGGTGCCCTTTTTCCCCCTGCTGTGGTTAGAGTGTGTGGACCTTCTAGTTTGCCTCTTGGGTTTCAGAAAACCAGTTCATTTTATATTATTCAGGCTCTGTGTATTCTGTGCATATTGTATGCATTTGCAGTTTGCGGTTGTTAAGGAGTGTAACAGTTCTCTGGAGACTAAAGCGGTTGATCTAATTGAGTGTGAGACAGCAGATCCTCATCCTGCCTGTCCTTCAGAATATGGTGAGTAGGATTTCCTTCCTTATTAGATCTCTCCTCAACTTTGTACCAGCAGGAGCAGTGGCTGATAGAGGAGACAGCAAAATCAAAATTATGTTTCTGGCCTGTTTAAAGCTGCTGTGCACAGCAGAAACCATGTTTATATTGCTGTGAAGAGGCCATTCAATCCTTCGTTTTGCAGATTATTCATGAGAAATTACAACAGTGCTTTCACACTCATAAGATGCCAGATGCTTCTAGGGATAGTAATAATATATTTTTGCACTTATACAGAACTTCACAGGTTTGCTTCATAGCAAGTTGTGCTCATCATACTGATGGTGAATGTACATCTGTGGAATGACATACTTTGACAGTCCTTATTCATTCAGGCAGATTTACTGAGATGGTGTCAAGAGTACAGCTCTGCCCAGAAACCTTTTGCCTTGCAGCAGCAACTACAGTTTTGCTTTTTGTGTTGAACGAGATGTTTGTCTGCTTAGGCATTTTTTGGTGCTTAAACAGGGATGAGATGAATAACAGAGATGTGCCTCCCATCCGTGGTGCAAAGGCACCAGGCAGCACAAAGGCACACAACAGACTTCCATGGTCCATGGGTTACCTGCTGGACCACCCTGAGTTTTAGGAAATACTGCCTTATAGATGGCAACTGAATGTCCTAATTGCTCAGATTGTGAGAACGAATGAAGGCTGATATCCTTAAGCGTGTGTCTTATTTACAGTATCACAGTATCACAGTATGTTAGAGATTGGAAGGGACCTCAAAAGATCATCTAGTCCAATCTCCCTGCCGGAGCAGGAACACCTAGATAAGGTTACACAGGAACGTGTCCAGGCGGGTTTTGAATGTCTCCAGAGAAGGAGACTCCACAACCTCCCTGGGCAGCCTGTTCCAGTGTTCCGTCACCCTCACTGAGAAAAAGTTTCTTCTCAAGTTTAAGTGGAACCTCTTGTGTTCCAGTTTGTACCCATTGCCCCTTGTCCTATCATTGTTTGCCACTGGGAAGAGCCTGGCTCCATCCTCGTGACACTCCTCCTTTATATATTTATATACACTAATAAGTCTCCTCCAAGCTATAGACTATTTACCACTATACTTCCCAGCTACAGAAGTCAGGAACTAGAGAGCCTGGTTTGCATCAGTCACTTAAAAATATGCAAAGGTAAAAGTTATGGACAGGCATCTTGCAAGATGTTCAAAATTGCCCATCCTTAGAAGTCACTTTATTCATCAGTAGAAAATATGCCTCACATTTATTTGGTTAGACTAATATTGTGAATGTGTAGAACTGTATTGTCCAGTGAAGGAAGCCTGATGTTTCCCGTTAGGAAGCTCTGTTTTCATTTATAGTTTTATCAGATGCAGCTATTGGAACAGAAATTTCCCATGACAGCTGTCTAATTTTTTCCTAATTGAAAATTAGAAAAGTGTTTCAACCATGTTAGACTCAAGACTAATAAAGAATCTGATGTCTTTTCTAACATGTTAAAGAAAGTTCTTATACCATACTATTGAATAATTCTAAGATCTTTAGACTTTGGGGCAGTGGCTTTAATTTTGCCAGGCAGGTAAGTCTTCTTGTCACAGGCATGCTTTTCCCTGTTCTTAGGTATTAAAACACTTAAACATGAAATTTGTGTAAGGCATTTCTGAAAGTCTTGTGCAAGGTCTTGACTTTGCCTGTTTTTTTGTTCTTTTGACATGAGTTGGTTTTGTAATTATCGGAATCCAATCTTGTGTTTCCTTTCATAGATGTCCTCTTTCAAAGCTGTTACTAGTTTTCTTTTAGCTTAGTTGTTGTGAAGCTTCTCAAATGGCTTTCAGTAATACATATGCATTTTCTCCAGTGGAAGAACAGCCTATAACATATAACAAAGCAGCAGAGACTTTGGCAGAAGAGGAGAAAGAACAAGGTTGTCACCAAGAGGTTCCTGTTGGTGAGAAATCATATCAACCCATGGGAGCAGAAAGGGACCCTCCTCAGGCTCCCTGGAGCATCCACCCGAAGCCCCTGCTGGAAAGGGACCACTGCAAGCTTGCTGCAGCAAGCCTACTGATGCAGCCAGACTAGAAGCAGCCTGGGTCTGAGCAGGAAAAGGAGGAAAGATTAAGGCAATAGAGAATGGAAACTCATTAAACACTGAAGCAGTCCCTTTTTTATTCAAATCTGCCTTAGGAAAAAGCAAACGACAGCCCACAAATCAAAACAGAACAGAGGAGTCCTTACCACTCCTTCCCTGTCATCTCTGCTTGGAAGAATTACTGTGAGCAATGTATTAACAATGAGTACTCTATTAACTATCACTTTAAGGGTCACTGCTGCTAACTTCATTAGCTGCCTGCTACAAGGACACTGAGGGGAAAACTGACAAATGGGTGATTTTTCGAAGTATTTTCTAGTGGAGTTGGTTGCAAACAGTGGTCTCTGCATGTACACAGACTCTGGAAATTGCCTAGATAATGGTCCACAAGGACAACTGCAGAGAAACTGGGATGGAAGATTGTGCAGGAAAATGAGTTAAAAAAGAATCTTTATTACAGTATTGTTCATGGACACTATAAGCCTTTTCCAGTTCTGCCTTCAGGCCAGAGTAACTTCTTGGACTTCACCAGAGATATTCTTGGATCTTCTTCTGTAAGTGAGCACCAAATGCAATCTTGCATTTCTCAGGTTTGATGGGCTGGAGGATTGTTTGTGAGCATATGGTGTTAACTATGGTCATGTCTATGAAGTGAGAGGTAATATTTGAGGGGAAAGGTGTTTCTTCCATTCAATTTTCCAGTCTACACTGGTTCTTCAGAGCATTTCAGGATTGTTTCTGGAGTGAGGCTGTGGGTCTGAGTCCGCTTTCAGCCCCGCAAGGGGGTATGTGCTGGAGCTGTCCTCTCCTTACAGAAGTCTGGCAGCCGAACCTGGTTCGGCCTATATAATAGGACTTAGTGTGGGGAAAGACCTCCAGCCAGTTGATGGTCTGACAGAACAGGAGGAGTGGGGCAAACAGAAAAACACCTCAGTTTGGACCGACTTCCATCTAGCTGTCTTGTGCTGCCGGATAAAATCTATGGGAATAATTGGGAAACAGCACCAATTTTTCTTGTAACTGGCTTTCTAACAGCTACAGTGCCCTTCCAGTTATTTAGTAAGAACTAACTTATAAAGCTCTGTTTCATACAGGTTGTAGTTTAACTGTTTATTGTATCAAGTGATTTCCACCACTGGTCGTGACTGTCTAAGACTACTTTTAGAATATATTGGAAGATATCTGGAAATCAGTTAGATTACTAACAATGTTTTCATTGTAGGGGGTTTCTCAGTCCTCTGCCTTTGAAGCCTACTACTGTAACTATTAGACACTTCCCTTAAACTTCACTACAGTGCCCACTACTACTGTTCCTTGTAAGTCATTAGCTGGATAGTAGTGGCAAATGTTACCATTTTGTTTGTTTACCACGCAATTTTTTTTTTATTTTTTTTTTTATACTCTTGCCAGGAAGTTATGGGATGTATGGGATGCTGTCATTTGGTTACCAGCTCTGTAGGTCATGATGGTAAAGATTACTGAAAAGTTCTTAACTCTTGTCCAAAACAGTTACGCATCTGAGTAACTTTGTGGAGTCAGTACTGATTTGTTTTAGTGTAAACAGCAAGAACATTGAGCCCAAGGTGTCCAAATTACAAAAACTATAATGCTATGTTGTGTGAAGCTGTCACTTATTTGTCTTCTAAAGTGATTTTTGCCAGTGGTTCTGAATTGTCGAGTCTGATTTCTAATCAGTTCAGTTCTGAATTCAGAATAAACTTGTAAACTTGGTGTTGCCAGAGGTTAATTGGAACTAGTAGCAATTAAGATTTATTTCCCTGTTCATTAAAGAGGAGTTGGACTAGATGACCTTTTAAGGTCCCTTCCAACCCAAACTATTCTATGATTCTATAATAAGATGCATTCTTTTGTGTGAATGGCAACAAGGGTATTTCCATGAAAAAAGAAGTGGTTGAGGAGAGTTGGCACACTAAACTCTGTTCAGGAGAGGATAGAACCATTGGTGTTTGGTAGATTTGATTTTAAGTTCAGTATAACAATATTAATTTCATTAACATTTTTGAAAGTTTCTAGTGTTTATTCCTTGGTCTTTCACAGTTCATCACTGATCTTGTGTGTTTTGATGGGAAGAGAGTCCAGCTATAAAGACCCTGATTCAGTATTTTATTCCCATGAGATCTAGTAACATTGCTTTGATCCCTGCACTTTGATTATTTGTGGTGAAATATAATGTTTTGCTTAAAATCAAAGTATTGTGTTGAACGACAGTCAAACATCTAATTGGAAGTTTCCATGATCAAAAGAAATAATGATTTGTAACTTTACATCTGGTTTAAACAAAGGTGTTTCAGACTCTTTACAAATTGGTTTCATATTCTACCTGGTGATTTTTTTACTTTTCCTTCCTTCTGTCTAAGGATCTAATTTTAATTTTGATAGTGTTCTTTACAGAATAAGATAGAAAAAAGTCAAGGTGATATGTTTTTGGAATTACAGTGTTTTGAGTTTTAAATATTTCCTAAACTCAGCTCTAAACCCAAAATAGTCTTTAGTGTAAAACCTTGAAATGATATTTCAACACAAATATAATATATTTGGTTTATTTGTATGTTTATAAAGGTATTGATTTATAAAATAAAGTAGAAAAAAAAATTCCTGGTGTCCCTCTTGTTTTAAAAGAAAATAATGCAAAATTCTAGTTTCAGTTAACCCATGTCATGTTTGTTGATAGCTCCATTGGTTTCATAATGCCACAGTGTGTAATGTGTTGGTGCAGCACATGAAGGTATCATGGGTTCTTCATTCACTGCTCAGAGAATCTATACTAATGAGCATTATCTTCTGCAGCTCACAGGTAGATCCCAGCTTGAATACGGTAAGTTTTTATTTATTATTTTAGTTAAACATTCCCATCAACAGCAGACATCACATACTCCTTTTTATGCACATTTAAGTGTCTCTTACAAATGTTACTTATTTGTCCAGAAATACTATCCATGACTTCACAATGTTTTCAAACTTCAAGATGTTGTTCTCAGGGTTTCCATTGCAAACCAGTTGAAGACAAATGATTGAATCCTGGGGGTTCCTCTGGGTGTTTTGGCTAAACTTTTTTCAGGTATGCAAAAAAACCACCTCCAAAACCCCTTTTTAAATTATTAGAACTTCTGGGTCTAGTTAGCTTACTATTCACCTCAAATCCTACTTTTAAAAATGAAATTAACATATGTTATATTAAGTAGTAAAAGAGGAATTTAGAGACATAATGGGAAAAAGCTTGATAAGTCTAAAGTGAGAAAACTATTGGGGAATTCTAAAAATCAAGGGAGAAAATGAGTTTGTTTAGTTTAGTAAATCCTGACTTTATTGAAATTGACATTTCAATTCTCTAAAGCCATAATTTCATCATAAAGAAGTGAGGAGTGATTCATGCTCATTCATAATGGACATAGGCAGTGCAATGGTTCCTAGTCATACAAATGCATGACATCTCATTTTAAGTCCTTTTGCAGTCCTTTTGCAGTCACTTGCAGTTTTGCAGTGGTTTATCTGTTCAGGAAAAAAAATAAAAAATATCCATCCTGCTAATCTCTTTCTGGGTGAAAATATTAAGAAAAAATTAATCTAGAAAAAATCTAGGAAAACTCTTCCAGATGGGGCTAAGGGAAGCCTCTTCCTTCTTACCACATATTGTGGTTTTGTCTTACTTGGAGTCATTTTATCTTATGTTACTTCAGGGTGATGCCTACACTGTTCCATTAGTCTTCAGGACACACGTGGTGTTATTGCCTTGCTCCCTGATAACTTGCCATCTTTATCTCTGTGTATGTGAAAAGGAAAGATGTTAGTGGCATTACAAGCCTCCCCCAGAGCCCCAGGAATGCACCCCAAACACAATCTGAAAGGGTGATAGCCTAAGTTGGCTCATGTTCCTGTGATCTTTTATTGAGACTGCTGTTTAATGCCAGTTTTGATGTGGACCAGGAACAGCCAACTTTGTGAAGACTATTCATCATGGGATTAACTTTCTGGCACTCCTCAGTACTGAGGTGGACTCGATCCAAACCAGTGAAAAGCCTTAGTCCCTTCTAACCAGCTGTAGGGGCACTCAATATCCTGCTACTTCAAGACTTTGGAAGTTGATTTTTGAGGCAACTGCTGCAATAATCACCTGTAAAGATGCAGAAGCCCTTTGTATTGGGACCCTGGCCACTATCATGTCTTCCGCCTCAAGCCTAGGTGTTACAACCAAAATGTCTTCTCCCTGCTTGCTTTCTTTTTGGAGGGGATGGTTCTGACTCTTTTGTTCTCTTAAACACAAGCAGAAGCTAAGCAAAAGCTTAGAGGGAATTTCTACACTTCTTAGATCGACACTGTAGTCTGTCAGCTGTCTTTTTTCCAGGTAAGAAGTTAAGATATGTCTCCAAGTATAATTTTAAGAATATCTGAGTCATAGACCCTTGTTTTTTCTCACACCCACTGCTGTGTGACGGTTATCTTTCCAAGCACCCAGCTTTATACCACATGCTTTCTAGGATCTTCAGTTCACAGGTATTCTTGGTTATGTTACCCCTAATATGGTCTTGTCAGTCTGAACCTCACTCATTAAGGGTTAAGGGGTCCTGTCTGCCAGCCAGCTTTCAGTCCATGTAACAAAATTGGCCTTGCCTATGTGGCCTTTATCCAAACCAATTTGGAATGGTTTTAAAAGTAAGTCAAAACCACCATGTAAGGGTGAGCAGCTACTGGAAACAGAACAGCTGGAGTCCTGGTCCATTAATAAGTCCCCTAGGTATTAATATGATGCAAACAATGAAAAGAATACTTAATGATTTATAAAAGAATTAGCTACTCATGTTCATGTAAAAAAGATTTATTATTAAAAAAAGCCTCATGGTTTAATAGCTTCATAGGTTCATGACCTAGCAAATTTTGTGCAGCTCTGGGCTTTTTATTGATTAAAGCCAGCGAGTTTTATGTGCTGTATTCAATGTACAGCTACAGTGTGCACATTTTAATGGGCATGTTCTTTGTTAATATTGATTTCATGAAACAATACATTTGAGTGTAATGTAATAAACTGAGAGAATGCACAGCTGATATTTCATTAGCATGTTAGCAGCAGTTAGTCATAATGTAAGAGTGGTCTAAGTGTGATATACATAAATTTATCTTTTTTCACTCAAGAAAGAAATAGAAATATTTAGACTGAAAGATTTTAATGACCATTTTGCTGTTTACTTCTTGTTTGCAAAAGCATGTTTGGCCCAGTTGCGTGCAGCCTTTGTGCAGTGTGTGTGCCTGTAAATAGTAAGTTAGAAGAAACATGTACTTTAAATTGCTCTTGAAAGGTAACCATTTAACAAAGGAATCAATAAACTAAATACAGCCATATGCCAAACATCTCACTGGAGACCAAAATCACTAATAGTTATGGAAGAGTCAAGGATACCTATAGTATTTGTATGAAATAATCATAGAGTTCAAACTTATTTCCGCTGACCTTACTGTTGCTTATTAAAGGTTTTAGCAGAGACCTGGATACAGTCGCATTCAAGAGAGGGGTTTGGAATTAAAATACAGATAAAAGGAAAAAGGTTAATCCAGGTCAAGGGAACAGACCAAAACTGGGATTGCATAAGATTATAGTATCTTTCCTCATTTCTCCGATGGTCAATGGCACCTAGTTTTAAGTAACACTCTTTTCTGCAAAATCTCTTAAATGAGAGTCTAAACACGCTATTAACTCTATTTTTTGGCTTTGCCAGTATCTTTAATCACTATACAATGATTTTTGACCTCTAAGAGAGTTTTGTTTGCCTAAAAGCACAATTGTGCTAAACA